AATTACGTTGTAACTCATCAATGTGGTACCAGATAATTTTTAGGTGTAAATGGCATCAATTAGGTTCTAAATGGATTCAAAGGCTTAACTCGATGGTCGTGAGCTAAAACTTTTCAAGCGGACTAATCATCGTATCAAACACGCAAGTCAAATTACTGAAAATTTGATGATAGTTCAAATTATCGAAACAAGTTGATTTTTTTCGTGCATTTTTACATGACTACATTTCTCTCTGTTGTACAAATTAATTTAATCATTATCCTTGGCATTAGTGTTCATCTTTGAATCCACATTCTCATCAATCACACATTATACTACCCACTATGCATGGCCCCTCCCTCCCTTCTTTTGCCCCTCTTCTCCCCATAGACACATAATTCACAAATGCTTAAGGCAATGGGTAAAGGGTACTAACTAAAGGGACAAATAATTGCTTCACAAACCACAAGCATATATATACAACAAATTAAAGCACATTGGCTGGTTGGGATGTCAATAGATATTTATACACTTTGGCTTCAAAAGGAGGTGAAAGTGACTCCATGGACCATGGTGTGGGTGGTGAATGAAACCCACTTTTCTCTACTCTCTTTTATCAATATGTTCTAAGTTCTAACTAGATAATAGTGGAATTTTATCATATTCTTTTCCAATAAGATGATTATGAATGCTCCACTCATAGATCTCATACAAATAATGTATCAAAGTGTATTGGAGCCTATTAAAATCATTATGGCAAACACCCGCTTAGCCATAACAAACAATCGAACAAGTACGATTCGTTATCCACACGAAGTCAGATATAATCGTTATATAGCTTTGTCTTATTTCGATTCTCATATAGATACAATTTGCTTGTAGATTTTTCACCCTTTTATAGATAAACGAATCAAACCCATCTAACTCAAATAGTTCTCCATGTGCAATTATGGTCCCTCCCTTTCCATCTTTCTTCAATATTTTGCTACATATAAGTTTAGCCCAATCAGACGCGCGGGAAAAATCGGACCATGCCATTCGCAACCATAGCAACACCAGTAGCATGGCCTTCCTCTCAAACTAGAGTTAAAAATACATGTAAACTCGCGTAACAAGTTTAGAAAATAAAAACAATTTGTAAAGCAAATACTCCTTTCTCCTTGTTTGATTAATTACCACGATTCAAATTCCATTTATTAACTTTCGTATTTTGATCATCTCCCCCCAACTCAAAATTTTGTCTCCGCCACTAAAACCCGATATCTCCTTGTTGGCTACCAGTAGTGAGCCACACATTTAAAAGGATCATCCAACCTGTAGAGCACAACCAACAGTACTCAAACTACATATATATTAGTATATTACTAAAGCATTATTAATTCGATGCCACAAATATCTTTGAGATGTACTGTAACCAATAATCTCAACATCTGGATTAATAAAGTACACCCTCACTCACTAGATCTTTAATTATGCATTCGGTTGATCAGCCAACTAATCAGTACGGTACTGTTGTTAAGTACTGTTAATTAAGAAAGAAGATTAAGGCCACGAAAAATACACACAAATATATCACTTTCATTTCTAGAAGGTTCGATCGAGTTTGACAAATTAAACTAGTCAATACCTCCCAATATATAGGGCCCCGGTCGGCCGACGAGTCATTTTCCTCGGTTTATGCCGACACGTTATCATAATTCATAACTCGTAAGGTGAAAGCCAATTTTTACAGTCTGGATTTACAGTGACAATTGACGGTCGGGTTAAGTAGACAGAGAGTTTTGAAGTGATGTCATTTCCTATACATAGAATAGAAGTAATTTTGGGGCTCTAAACGAGTTTAATTATTGAACAATATCCTTGTTTCTAACTATTTTTTTTATTGATTAAGCTCAGGATAAGTGTAAGCTAAGCGAGTATGTTTATGTGATATATAAAAACTATTTACATCCAGTTGATGAGAACTACTGCTCACAGAACGTTGACTCCCAACAAGAAGATGCAGGAGTGATGAGTTATGATGTGCCTTGTCTAGAAACATATAGAATATCGTATTTGTATCGTATTAGTTGATCGTATTTGTATCACTAATCGAATTGGTATGATAATATTATGTTATGGCATTTCAATGATAATCCAATTTTATCTCATCTTCTTTGCAGTGAGTACGTACGTTTGAACATCTTTCTCATGTGGGAGTATATGATATAATTTTTCTTTCCTTTTCTCTTTTATCGTCCAAAACAGGCTATATGGAGTATAGTCAAGTGACAGGTAGTAGTAGAGCAGGAAATCTGAATGAGAAGAGCGAAAAATTAAAACTGACTCAAGGTAGCTGAACATGAGGAGCAATGCCCTATGAAATGCACATTTTCCAAATGTTATATGCATGTTAAATATTTTTTAAAATTTAGTCTGGAAGTATTCTTCTGGGGGTCATAGTCGGCCACCCCTCACCCTCATGTAGGATATAAGCTCTGCTAGGGCATCAGTTTTTTTGTACCGCCATGCAAAGGTTTGAATCAATTTGCTCTGGATTATGAATAAGTTTCCTTCAGATTACGAACTCCTCAATTTATCTGTCGAGAACTATCCGATGACTCCAGATGAAACGATTGATTGTTGGTTAGTGCATATGGTCACACTGAGCCTATAGCTTGTATCAAGCTACAACTTCTGCTTGAAACCTACTTAGCTAAAATTGTTGCTATATATTGCTAACAAACACCTTAAATCATTAGTCTAACTAATTTAATATCCCCTACAATTTGACTAACATCATAACGTCCTACCAATTGTGGAAAGAATATGAGGCTACCAAGTTTTTGGTATTTGTTAATTAGTGAGATGAGTGAGTATAGTAACGTATAAGGCGCAATCTTACTTTCTTTCTTCGGCCCTTTCCAGAAATAAATCCTACCTTATTTTGACCAACCAAAGATATCGTAAGCCATACCAATAACTATTGATAGTTTCCAATCTCCAACCTATTTATTTGTTTATAGTTTATACGTTTCCATTTCCATTGACTCTTTTGATTGTCTCCAAAATTGCTTGTGGTCCTTTTAGTTCATAATGACGATGTCTAATAATCTATTATGTTCTTTACTACATTTTGATTATTAGATTTTATTCAATGCAATCTTTTACAAATTAATCAGGAGAGTGTAAAACCTCAGGGGGTCATTTAGATAGAACGATTTCTACGCATAATTTTGTCACAACAAAAATTAACTTATGGTAACCAGCAGCAACAACAACAAAAATTATGGGCATGAGAAATTTTAATAATTCATGTGTGAGTTTTTCTAGTTTTTAACCCTTAAGTTATTTCGAAATCCTACATTTTACATCATCTACTTTCGAAACTCACCGTTTCTTCTTTACATTTAGTACTCCTTCCACACATACACCTCTCGCCCATAAACTTTGCATCCATCCGGCATCAATCAACATAATTCATTCGTGAATCATCCCGATTAAATTCAATCAACGTAACATAGTACCATCATGAACATCGAACACAAATAAAATTGTACCAATACGAAAGCAACAACATATATTGCTCAAATTTATAATTATGGATAACCTATAATACTCAAAATTTTGGAAAGGAAAATTATTTATACTGGAAAAGAAAAATAAGCGACACGATGAGAGTCATCCGACACCCACTAGGAATCCATTTTCTTAGTGTTGGTTGGCTTCCTTATATTTTAATGAACGATACCATTTGGCCCCAAATTTCGAGGACTTTATAGTTTATATTACAACTCACAAGGGTACTTTCTTTAAGGGCACTTCCTATTAGGGCTGGCTATTTGGTACCGGACTGTTTGGTTTTACCCGAAACCGGACCGTATACCCCGGATCGGGACCGGACTGGGACCGGATAGCAAACAATGCAATCTCATATTTAGGTTTAGATTTGAGGTAAAAAACCGGATAAGAGAACCCCAACACCTAAAATCAAGATAAAATTGGGACCGAACCGGGTCAAGACTTGACCGGATCAAGACCAGACTGTATCCAATCCAATCTTTGGTCCTTATATTCCCGAAAAGACCGGACTGAGACCTGATCAATTTGGTCCAATTTAACCGGAGTGGATCGTATAGCCATCCCTACTCCCCATTGGCTGGCTCCCACTAATTAGAAGCATATAATAATAGGGTAAAGAGGATCGATGGATATGCCAAGAAAAGAAACAAAACCGTCCTCCTGTTGGTCACGTGCAGCTACCCTTAGATTCACGACTCCTAATAATAGTAACCCCACGTTGACAACCCGGCATTGTCGACACACGCGCGCAGCAACCCTTCCGAGTCGAACCGGTTATTAAGCACGTGTTGACATTATCAGTGATAGTTGGATGATTTGAATCGATGGACGTATGCATTGATGATGACGACGGGACGACATGATGGTGCTGAACTACATGAAGTATGAACTTCTCTTTTTTATTTTATTTTTTCATAGTAGGAGTGATTTGTTGGGGGTGATCAATCGACGCGGTGTCCGCTGGTACATAGCACATTGTCTTCATAATCGAGCATGGTTGCTAATACTGAATCCAGGTTTTACAATTAGATTTCAACTTTGCTCGAACTTGGTAATCGAGTATATGGTGCTAACACGTACTCTATCGGAGTCCCGATTATAATAACTTTTGGGGATGGCGGGATGGATATGGCACGCGCCAATGCTGTAGCGTGGGGGGAGGTAGGGAGCTTGAATTGGTTGGGACCTTTGGACTAGTTTCCAAACGAACATTCGAGAGCCTTGTGCGACTTAAAATAATGATACTATGTACCTTTAATTAACCGGGTTCTTAATTAATTCATCCACTGTTGTTTAGTTTAGTATGTGGGTAATGGTCATGGTCTTTGGTCTCCTCAATGGATAAGTACGGTGGGCTGGCCTAGTTAATCTAATACACCCATATTTAAACAACAATTTTAATTTTGCATTTTGACTCAAGAATTACAATATAAAACTCCTTTCTCCCTTAATTATTACGATATCAATTCAGACTACAGTCATGTTACTAATTAATTTTTTTTAGGTGAAATTGAAGATTTATGGTTAGAATTGTTAAGTTAAATGTGTTCACAGTGTAGCGGTGCAAAGATGGGTGAACTCTTGGGAAGTCACCACGATGCTCCCAAAAGCAAAATCAGAGGGGATAGGCCTAAAGCATACAATATTTAGGTAAAAACACGTTGCGATTTTATAAGTGATATCATAGCCTCTCCGCGTCTTTCTTGAACGATGGTAGGGTGAGCCTCAACGAGTAGGTCGAGTCCTAAAGAGGGGGTGTAGTGTACCACCTTATGAAAATTCCACGTCGACAACGTACATGAGAGATCAATGGGTCATGATGATTGATTCAACCTTTGTTGATAAGACGTGTTTTGGGATAAATTGGAAGAGTTCTACTAAGAATACTGAAATTAAACGTGTTCAGGGTGAACCAGTGCAAAGATGGGTGACCTCTATGAAAATCACCATGGTGCACTCAAAAACAAAATCGCGTGAGGCTAAACCTAACGCGGACAATATATTGGTAAGAAAAATGGTTGGAATGTTAAAGGCAATCTCACATAACAAAAACTATACACAGTTTGTTAGCATCGTAGCTATCTCTAGTCCACAAGGGTAAATGTTGCAATATTTTCTATTTTACTCTTGTTGTGAAGGGATAAGTACAAAATGTCCGAACTTGTTCACAACGCATATGTTGATCCGCTCAGTTCCAATTAATGCGTAATTGACTCGATAATCATCAATATATGTAAGTTAATGAGTAACAAACCGAGGGTCAAATGATCATAAAGCATGTCCACATGGTTTACCAATTTACTATGATTCTTCATATGTAAAAGAATCATGAAAATATGTGTTGTTGTCTTGTGGTAACTTCTTTGTTAAGGGGGGATTCATCAACGTCTTTCTTTGTTGTGACTTTGTGAGGGGTAGATGAAAGATGATGGCTGGTCCAGTGGGATTGGGTGTTGGTGCCTTAGAAGTTACAAGGCCACCAGGGATAGAGACAGTGTACATCGCCCACTTACTTATCATCATCGGTGTCCGCAAACCTTGTATCCGACCGATCGTTCAATAAGAAAATTGTTTATAGGAGTTTAACCTGATAGACGGATCTAGGTGAATATGATAGTTAAACCATGGTTTCAACACAAACGTATATTTACTGATTTCTCCAATATAACATCTGATACGATTGCAATCCCGACCTACTCTTAGTATAGGATGAACATAAATATTGTGATACTCATCCCACGTTACCACTTCGCCCTGCAAGAAACCAATTGACCAAAAAATTACCCGGTCCTAATTTAGACAGCTCATTTACGGGAGGGGTTACGGTGCTAATTGTACAATAGTTAGCACCGTCCTAACCAAGAGAAAAACTACTACTAGTTTGAATTAGTAGTGATTTAGCTTAGATATTGTATTGATTTTATAATAATCCGTAATGATTTTTGCTAGTTATCACGGTGCTAACCCCTATAAGGGTTAGCACCTAATCCCATCCCCTCATTTACCACTAATTGGTATACTAAAGGGCACTTATCTAGAAAAACAATCCCTAATTTAGCCCCTGCCTCAGTAACTAACTACTAACTACGGGTGTTGACCAAACGAAAACGGCACCGTTCCGACCCGTTGGTAAAAAGCCAAGATAGAGGAAGAGGACAAAAGAGCACCCAGTGGCACGTGCAGTAATTCCTCGGCGAAAACAAGGCTCAATTGACAAGATTATTTTAAATTAATCCGGGAAAAAATCTGATTGGTTACTGTAGATATGAATTAATTAATAATCACCCTTTTTTAATATTTTCCCTTTTGTTTCTCATTTTTGGTTTTCTTCGCCCCCATTTCTCATTGTCATAATTATATTTATCAGGCGATGGATGAGACGACGGAACGGATAGATAGACAGAAAGGAGAGAAAGGAAGGAAAGAGAGAGAGAGAAGCAGTTCTTGGTGACTCACACACGCACACTAACAACAAACCATAAAAGAGTTCTCTCTGCCCTGCCGATTCGAATCTCCTCTTTCCCTTCACCGGCCGGCGATCGGAGGAGTGTCAATTGGGGAACTGCTTGCGGGGGAGGAGAAGAAGAAGGAGCGAGAGCTATTGCGAGAAGTCAACACCTCTCTCTCTCTCTCTCTATATATATATATCTTTCTGCTGACGGTTCTTGGGGGCGGAAAAGTGGAGAGGGGAGTATTGCGTCCGGATTAAGGAAACAAGATGAATTTGGAGAGAGCGGCGGCGGCGGCGGCGGGGACGGGGACGGCGGCGAAGGGATACGGGAGCGTGGAGAGCGAGTACATTCGGAGGCACCACAGGCACGATCCTAGCGAGCAACAGTGCAGCTCCGTTCTCATCAAGCACATCAAAGCTCCGGTTCATCTGGTGAGGATTCGGTTTCTTTTCGTTTCGTTTCTCTCTTCTTCTTTGATGTTTTTTCCCCCCCGGTGTCTTTGCATTTCTATTGCGATTCTAGGTTCTTTCTTTCTTGCTTTCCCGATGCGATTTTATCAAGGCCCTGTGTTAGATGGTCCTCTCTAATTGTGATCGGAGCTCTCTTGTTTGACCTGAATTCATGGCTATTGGCTACCTGGTGTTTGCTTTTTTGATCTGATGATTCTGATTCCTTGTTCAGATCGGTCGGTGTAGCGGCCTTTGTTGTTGACGACGATTCATTTGTTCATTTGTTTGACTCTGAGAAGAATAGTGCTGGGGATGTTCTTCAATGGAATGCATAATCGTTGAGTCCTAGTTATGTAGCTATTCTGGAAATTGCTCTGTTTTGTGCTTACTAAATGCTAGTCCTCCATGGATGTCTTGGTTTTTAGTCTCTTTAATTTGTGCAGTTTGTTCATATGAGGGGTTTCAGAGAAGTAATTACAGCTCTGAGGGTTTTTTCTTCTTGGGTTTCCTTCTTTGGTTTTTTGTAGCTATTAGTAGCCTCAATGCTTCTCTGTTGGGGAACGAATACTAATTGCATTTTCTCCTGGTGTAAAATTAACAGGTTTGGTCCCTGGTTAGGAGATTTGATCAACCACAGAAGTACAAGCCATTCATAAGCAGGTGTGTAGCGCGTGGAAACCTTGAGATCGGGAGTCTCAGAGAAATCGATGTCAAGTCAGGGCTTCCAGCTACTACCAGTACCGAAAGACTAGAGCTTCTAGATGACGAAGCACATCTCCTCAGCATGCGCATTGTTGGTGGCGATCACAGGCTAAAGGTTTGTTTGTTTGAATGAACACATGAGTCTCTTCTTTCATTCTTCAGTTCATTGAAGAAGTGTTTATATCTTGGTGGCTGATTAATTTCTTGTTGGTATCATGACAACCAGAACTATTCGTCGATTGTCTCTCTCCACCCAGAGATCCTCGACGGAAGGCCAGGGACGTTGGTGATCGAGTCGTTCGTGGTGGATGTGCCTGACGGGAACACCAAGGATGAGACTTGCTACTTCGTTGAAGCTCTGATCAAATGCAACCTGAAATCGCTGGCTGATGTATCTGAGCGACTTGCTGTACAGGACAGGACTGAGCCAATCAACAGGGTCTGAGAGGGAGAGAGAGTGTGTGAGGCATTTATGCTGCTCGCGGCTGGCTGAGAGACTGTAAGAAGATGCACGCACTAATATGATTGCAGATGATGATGGACGGATGAAGCTCTGGATGACTGCTCTCGTGTAAGATTTGGTTCCATTCGAGATGCTGCTGCTGGCTACTGCTGTTTCTTTAACTTACTATGCTGCTGGGTTCTCCCAGTAGATGTTCAGTGACCACATTGCTATTTTTTTCTTTTAATCCCTCATTTTATGACGCTCATGAATCGAGAGAAGAGTGAAAATGGAAACTCAGCTCCCCTCGTTTTTGTATTCTTCTTTTTCTTCCCACCATGTTCAGCGTCTGGTTTGTTCTTCCAGTGTTTCTGTGAGTCGTTGTGTAGTAGTTGCTGTTGATGTACATAGCGTTTGCTTGACATCAGAGCACCTTGCTCTTTGTTTTTTGGTTTGTTATTAGTGTAATTCTAGGTTTTAGAGTGTAGTGCGATTGGGCGAAAACTCGTGGATCTAGTGTAGAAGCGAACTCTCGTGTTGAAGGTACCTATGAAATTTAGCTGTTGAAGAAACTGTTCTTGCTCCTCTTTCTGCAGTTAGCAGCACCTCCTTTCTCTTTGTATCTCAGCCAGTTTACTGGGATATTTGGAGTTGGATAAATCGAGGGTATCGGAGCTTTGCGTGTGAAATCATGCTGAAAATTGAACCATTATGACTAGTTATGAATGCTAATGTTTCTGAAGTTGTAATAGAGATAGATCGAATCGATCAAAAGGACAGCGACTCAAGCGATTTCAGCTATAGCTGTTATTTCATGTTGCGAGTGTGAAATCATGCTGAAAATTGAATCAATACGACTAGTTATGAATGCTAATGTTTCTGAAGTTGTGATAGAGATCAATCGAATCGATCAAAAGGACAGGGACTAAAGCGATTTCAGCTATAGAAAGTTGAATGTTATAACATGAAACAAAACAGCTATAGCTGTCGAAATAAAATGTTGCTCAAAATTTGGCCCTGAAGGAGGAAAGAGGAGTAGCTGAGTCGAGACTCCTTTGTTGAATTTACAACATTTCTGACACACTAATGCTACATGCTTCCCGGGCCACCGGCGGCAGGGTGGCTAAGGCTGCCTGCCTGCCTGCGTATGAAGAAGCTTCCCGTTAAGCGTCTCCGGAAGAGCATCATGGGGAGGAACATCTAAGGCCCGAAAAAAATCGAAGTATACAAATAAGCGCCTGTATTCTGTACAGAGAGCTCCTCCCCTTTTTCCATTACTGGTCATCCACTGAATAATACCCGGGATCATCTTCCTTCTAGACAAATGGTCAAGCCAGCACAAGATCACCTTGTTCTTGTTGTTCTACCTCTCGCGGCTCCGGCAGCTTCCCTTCCCTGTATGGCAACAGGATCCTCTTTATTTCCTCCGATGTCAGCGTCTCGTACTCTAGAAGAGCATTTGCCAGTGCATGCAACGCCTTCTCATGCTAAATAAAAGAAAGGACATAGGATATCAGCAAACAAGTAAAAATTTGCATGCATCAACGGTGTTATTGGGGAACAATATAAACAAGCATCAACAAACCTTCTTCAGCAGGGCCTTCACACGATCGTATGCTTCTCTCAGAAGTTTCACAACCTATGAACAAGTGATTTGATCGAATGTGACATCGTACTACAGAAAGAGGAAATATATCGTTATCGAGTAATTAGATGAAGACATACTTCAGCATCAATCCTTGATTGCATTTCTGAACTGGGTCGTTCCTTGAGATGGACTGGTCCAATTACGTCACTCATTCCACAGCTTGATACCTTGAGAACAATATCATCAAGCAATACATATACAGTCTAAGTATGGGTGATTAACCAGTTCCGGTTCGTCGGTTAACCAAGAACTGAACCACTTAAGTATGATGATAGATTAGACAAGTAGACATAAGTTTGAAAGATGAAACTCATTTCCCACTTACCATATACTGTGCGAGCTCTGTAGCTGTGCTCAGATCACTACTTGCTCCTGTCGTGACATGATCCTGTCCGAAGATAAGCTCTTCGGCGACTCTTCCTCCCATGCAAACATCTAACCGAGCTAGTAACTGCTTCTTGCTTATTGAAGTCTCGTCGTTTGAAGGAAGTTGGGTGACCATTCCTAGAGCAGAGCCACGTGGCATTATGGTTGCCTTGTGAATCGGATGTGCACCTTCGGTGTTGAAAGCTACGATGGCATGTCCACTCTCGTGATATGCAGTCAACTGGAAAAAAAAAGGAATGTTGTGAAAAATCCATCTGTAAGAGCAATTAAGGGTTAAAATTGTTTGACGCATCATATTAACAAATCACCTTCTTCGAGTCTTCTGATACGAACATCGTCTTGCGCTCGGTTCCCATGATGATCCTGTCTTTAGCAAACTCCAGCTGTACACCATTCAATTTCTCTGCCCCTTCCACTGCTGCTTTAATGGCAGCAATATTCACCAAGTTCGCCAGATCTAGATTAAAACAGGTGGTGAAGTATGTCAGGAAGAGAGCCTGAAGAGAACTGATAAACCAAAACAGATTATTTGGAAAACAGTTCAATTGAACAGCATTTACCAGCTCCATTGAAACCAGGTGTCCCCCGAGCAATCGCTTTAACATCCACATCATCAGAAATAGGTTTGTCTTTCAGATACAGCTCCAATATCTCTTGACGTCCTCGTACATCTGGATTGGGAACCACAATCTGAAAAGAGACTACTGTCAGTTTGGATAGAGAAGATAACTATATGGTTTGAATTTTCTTGACAGAGTTAAATATTCTGAATTCTGGTTCAAAATTACAGAGTATTAAAATGTATGTGGACTGATACCCAAAAGTAGATAGGAACTTACATGTCTATCAAATCTACCAGGTCTGGTCAAAGCTGGATCAAGAATATCAGGCAAGTTTGTTGCAGCCATTAATATTATTCCCTGCAAGGAAAAGACTGCATAAGAAATTCAGGAGACAGAATGAATTTTTCGAAAGCAATCTTTTCACTACATACCTCATTTTGTTCAAAACCATCCATTTCAACAAGTAACTGATGTAAAGTCTTCTTTGTATGGCCTTCCCATTGTTTTCTTGTTGAACCAACAGCATCAATTTCATCAATAAAGATGATACAAGGAGCCTGTTGGACCAAAAGTACTGCAATTGATGAGTGCAAAATTACCATGCAACAGACCATTAAACAATCATCAATACAGATTAGGACAAGGAAAACAGAGGTTATTTACTATTGTCAATATCTTGCTCAGTTCAATTACTGGTAAGATGCGGGGGCACAAATCACAAGATAAGGAAAAGGCTAAATGCTTGAACAAAAGAAAGCGTTTCTTTGTGCAAACCTTCTTCTTAGCTGCTTGGAACAGGGATCTCACACGCCTGGCACCAACACCAACAAACCTGCCGAAAGAAACCAAAAAACAACTCTGAGAAACAATATTTTTCTGACTAATGCACACATTTTTCTCACGGAACCAGCTGAGTTGGATCAAGTGGATGCTCATGTAGGCATGAACCATAAAAAAGAAAAACATTGTTCTAACCAATCCTTCACAGAGTTAAGGTGATTACTCACATTTCCTCAAACTCTGATCCTGCTCTATAAAAGAAAGGTACTCCAGCTTCTCCAGCAATAGCCTTGAGGTACAAGATATAGAAATAAGGTCAATGCCTAAACAAGTAATATTGTTGGAAAAAGCAAACAGAAAATAGCCACAGATACCCAAAATGGACTAATGCGGAGTCCTAACGGGCACACAAGGAGAGGGAGGGGGGATGCTTGCTTAATGAGCTACATTTGACGGGAAGAATTAACATAAAATATAACATCAACAACGATGCACAACCTTGGCATACCTTTGCAAGCAAAGTTTTTCCAGTGCCTGGTGCTCCAGTCAAAAGAATTCCCTGGAAAGTTACATCAATTTATCATACAATATAAACATAGCTGAAAAAGCAGCACCACAAAAGAACCAAGAATAACAAAATAATGGGAAGACTAAATAGCTGTTCAGTTACAAACTATGCATCATGTGACAAGAAGCCCAGGTTTTAAATCACAAATAGAGAGATAATCAAACTTTATCAGGCTTAATTTGGCAGCAGGATTACTATTCTGAAGGACCAAATCTCATGAGTTTAAGCAAGGAATCATGCAAACCGTCTTCAGACCAAGCAACCTAGTATAATTTTCCCAACACTAGTGTTTAAATGAAATGAAATGTTAAAAGACAATGCTGGCAAACCTTTGGCAACTTTCCACCCAGCCGAGTAAACTTGGAAGGGTTCTTGAGGTATTCAACCACTTCCTCAAGCTCTTGTTTGGCATCATCACAGCCTTTAACATCCTTGAATGTTTTAACATTCTGAAAAAACATAGACCAGATGCAAAGAGACAATAGGGCTGATCATCAGAAATGATACTCAGAGAATTTGCATATCTACAGGAAAACTGGAAACAATAGCCTAATGCACAACTTATTTAAGCTGAGAGACATAAGGTACATAGTCTAGTTCCATCTTCTGACTAATTAGGAGGAGCCATATATTCTAATAGCTATTTGGTTTTCCTAATCATGGTGTTTTTGAGGCCTACTTTCTCAGGCATAACTTCTTTGTTATGGTCCTTTGGAGAATACGAGGAACTTGAGCCAACTCCTGAAGCCCCTATTCCTCCCAGGCTCCCTATATATTTCTGGAGAGCTGCTGCACCCATTAACCTGAAAAAACAAGTTATGATCTCAATAAGAATAAAACTCGAAATGTGGCAGTACCATTATCACTCACTTCACGGGCAAGATGGCCAGCACAGATTTAAAGAAACTCCATCGTAGTATGAAAAAGACACCAACACATACCAGATGAGTCCAACCGCCACAGTGAACAAAATAGTGGAGATAAGCTCTTGGGCAAACCGCGACTTTTGAGACACTTTGCGATCAACCTAAGAATGAAAAACAACATATATTATTAGAAGCCAAACAAAGAGTCTAACAGCTTGGTACAATGACAAAACCATTGACATGAAAAGAAAGAAACTCAACACATTTCACCAAAAAATGAAGGAAGCTCACTCAGCACTTACCATCACCACATGCAATGGCTGCTTCTCAGACAAGCCAGGGTTAACAAAAGGCTCATCGGTATTCCCAGCCACCCGCTGCTTTAGTTCTTGAAGCTGATTGAAACAACCATGGTCAGGCTCTCCAGATTAAGTGGCACTAAGTAGTAAAATCCCAAACAAGAAGAAAATGAACTCTAAATTACCAATGCAGGAAGACTAGAAGGCTTCCCTGACTGCTCATCAGGAAGGAAATCAGCAATAGCATTAGTAACCACAAGTGCCCTGAGATACTCTGCCACTCCCCTACTGTCCACAGCATGTTCTCTTTGTTCAAACCTCTTGATCACAGACTCAGGACTACAAAGTGATAATGGAGAACAATAAGACCATTGTCGACATGTCTTTCTCCACACAAAAAAAGATGACAACTTTCTTTCTAACCTGTGCTTGTTGAGCTCGACCAAGAGCGCAGTTTGCTTGACAGGGTCTTGGGGACTAGCATCCGCTTCGTCAATGAGACGCTCCAGCCGCTTCTCCTGCCGCCAAAACGGGAACCAGCTAAGCCAATCAGAAGCCAAGAGGTAATCAACCCGTCTCCGGAAAGCAGCCCATATACCCATCAGGAAAACCACCAGGGGCAACTTGCTTTTCCCGCCCTTCGCCTTCTCTCCTTCCCAATCCTCCGCCGCCTCGTCATCGCCAGAGGATAAATTCTCGGCCTTGAACTCCGCGTCGCCGGCGCTCTGCGGGTCGGAGGCCAATTGGAGAGTAGACGGGTCGAGGTGAATCCCGTCGTCGGGCCTGGATAACCCGGAAGCGGACGAAGCCGGGTCCAATACCGAATCCGAAGGGGGAGGGAAAGACGGGAAAGAAGAAGACGAGGAAGAAGAAGAGGAAGAAGAGGCGAAGAAATTTGGGTTATCGGGATTCAATGTGCAGGAAGTGCGGTAAGTGCGTACGGGGAATCGGATAAGGAAAGTGGAGAAATTGGGGACAGAAGCAGAAGTAGATGGAGAATGGCGAGGTGGGGAATGATGAAAAGGGTGTTTGAGGGAGAAGGAAGGTCTGCAGAGAAGAGAAGCTTGGAGGGCAATAGCCATTTTCGGCGATTAGGGTTCGTTTGGTTGTTCTCCGGAGCTTCCTTCCGGCTGGCTGAGCTGAAGGGAGGAGAAGATGGAGTGAGCAGAAAGGCAAGCAGCCAGCGGAAGGAGAGAGCAAGGCAAAATGAGTGAGTGATTCGTGGCTGCTCTGCTAATCTTATCCCCTTGGCTGGCTGGGAAAGTTCATATATCTGCGATTATGATATGAGACTGAAATTGGCGCCGGCCTATGCCACTGCCATAAACAAGTTTCAAAAGCATCCCATACACTCGTTTGAGTTCGTTTAGGCCATAAAAATTAAAAAAAATCTATCCTCATTCCACTCTCGACTATATTAGTTACATCAAACTTTTTCATGTGACAACGATTTAATGTGTGTTGCTAATATTGGTTGGTCACTTCATTTTAGTATTTTGTCAATTTTGACTATATGATCAAAAAATGATGCAACTCGAAATTTATACAATCGTTATTTTCTTAATTATATGATACCTTTGTTTAATTAACTATTTTTTTTTATCAAATTAAGCCCATGCTTTGTAATTTTATAGGTTACATGTATTATCTGTCTTTTAGAGTTGAATTCCTTAAAAATATCAATTAGTTGAATTCATGTAGTATTTGAATCGAACAAAAATAAAACTTACAAAAAGTGGAAAGGAGAAACAAATAGTGTCACTCTCATATTTCCTCTCTCAACTAATTTATACTTTACTGGTCGTTGTAACGTTTGACTTTAATAAGATCTTCTATTAAATTCTTTGTTGTGTTCATTTCTCTCTTTTGCTCGACATCAAATCAAATTTTATAACTAGAATATGCGATTGTAGCGGTGAGGGTTTGACGGTTGATGAGGTTATCCAGCATGGGGAGGGAAGATGCAATGATCAGAAACTAAGCCAGTGGTTTCATCCACTGACCTGAATAGCCATCAAGGACATCCGTTTGCCACGCCAGAATATTATGGATAAATTGATCTGGCATCCGACTCCTGATGGGGTAAAATCTGCATGCTACGTTGCGGTAAACCTGGATCGTCAGAGAGGTCGCTGGAGGGCTTTTGCTAGTTGGATTCGGCTGTGGGAGGCTGATATCCCTCCGAAACTTATGGTGTTTGTTTGGCAAGTTCTCCATAGAATTCTTCCTACTACGGAAACTCTGATTGAGAAGAAGGTTGATGTTTTACCTCGTTGTCCGGTTTGTTGGGCGGCTTCGGAAACTCTCGAACATATGTTCTTGGATTGTCCGGTTGCTCGCGCCCTTTGGGATCATTCTGGGCTTGCCCACCTGGGAGAAGGGTTGCCTCGCCATACGTCCCCGCTCTTCCTGAAGAACTTGTTGGCTTTGATACATCACCCTACTTTGGTTATGTCAGTAATTGATGTTCTATGGCGGATTTGGGGATCTCGTAATTGGGTTGTTTTTTAGGGCAAACAGTTTGGGATCCCCGCCTTGATGCGGCAATTCAACCAGCAAGTTCAGGAATGGATTAGCTTACCAAGGGACCGGCTCGACCAGCTACCGCATCCCCCTGCTTCTCCTCTAAACTCAGTGGGATCTAATTTGGCCATTTGCATGTGGGATGGGGCTATGAGGAATGGATCTCACGAGGTTGATGGGATGGTTATACTAAACTCTGATAAAGCGGCCATCCTAGCTAAGGGGATTCAATTCCTGGTGCTTGACGATCCAATGATAATTGAGATACTTGTTCTCCGGGAGGCTATCGCATGTTGCTTGGAATGCGAATTTACTGCGATGAGATTTGAAGGTGATGCCCAGGTGATCATTGAGAAGATTCTCCGCAATGATGTTCGGGATAATCGAGTAGGGGCGATTCTGGAAGAGATTGTCAATTCTTTTGCTGTTAACATGGGTTTTAATGTACGATTTGTAGGTCGACGAAACAATAGGGTAGCTCACTTGGTGGCCAGAAAGGCCCTGTCTTTGTTCCCGACTACGTGTCGTTCCTTTGATTTTCAGGCCTGGCTGAATTCCAGGATGTAACGATCTTTTTGTTTCAATCAATACATGATTATCTTTTGTAAAAAAAAAAAAAAAAGACTCGATCTCAATTTATGCGGTGAGAATTGTTGAATACTCTCATTGATCATCACTTGCACAACAATTTCCACCACATTAAGATGTTATTACTTATAACAAATGAATTCATGTTGGTGTCACAAGCATGTAACGAAATCTCGTAAAAGTGAGCAACTTTTCCATTGGACTCTTAAGGAACACATGAGAAATAAAAAAAGGACGATGAAACCTCCAAACTAATACGCCACTCGCTGTGTAACCCGTAACTCCACTTGCACTCTTCTTCTCATATCAAAACCACATAATGAAAGTTCGAATGAACATGATTGTGGACAACTGGCCATCATTTTGTGCGCTATTATATGGTTCAACTTCAACTCCAAGGAAACTACTCTCAAGTCTATGACTAAACCAAGCACCCTATTATACTATATGAAACTACATGAACCAATAACAGGTCCAATGCCACCCCTTTTCAGACATTACACTCAACAATCCAAAATGAAAATCTAATATTCTCGACATACTCTGACTGAGAAGGCAGCCATAAACAGCCGTTTATCTTCAAATTCTCCTGTTTTTTAACACCGGAAATAGCAGCAAACTCAACAGCCAGTGAATGATGCAAATATCCGCCATGATTAAGAGAAAAACGGAAAAATTCGACCACATTACAACATGTCTGCATTATCATCCAACAAAATACATCAAAATGTTTCGATTCTACAGCCAACAATCAAAACCTTAGTAGTTCAAAACACTTGTAGGTCAGCCTGCACCCTCTGTTGATATCCGAAAAGGAAAGAGATTGCTGCAACATTGGTGTTCAGCTGGTGATCCAAGCCTATGCACTTCTCCTCGTTCCGGAACAAAAGCGGAGATGCTATTGAGCAGGCCTATAATGATGGCCCATTGAAGATGGTGGCGGCGGCATGCCACCATGGGAGGACATATGCATCATTCCATGGCCTCCGTGAGGGGGCATACCACCTGGTGGCATGTACGCATTACTATTCCCCCCACCCGGTGGTGGCATGTACGCATTGCTATTCCCCCCACCCGGTGGTGGCATGTACGCGTTACTATTGCCTCCACCCGATGGCATGTAGGCATTACTATTCATCTGCTGCGGCATTGAATGTGGAGGAGGACCTGGAGGAACACCGGCACCCCATCCGGCTGAAGCTTGAGGCGGCATCATTTGATGCTCGGCCGTCTGAGGATACTGACCTCCGCTGTATGGCTGAACGGGACCTCCGCCCATTGGCTGCTGTCCTAAGAGTGAAGGCTGAGGGTTCATCATTGGAGTATTGGGGATTGTGTAGTCCCTACTTCTGTCGTTATTGACCTGTAATTCAAATGACAATACAACAATAATGTCTGTCGTTAGTAAGTTAACCTGCCATCATGATGGTACATAAAGAGAGAAAGTCCAATTACCTTTATGCTGAGATCATTATGGCGAGAGTACGAGAGATGAAGTTTGCAAAAGCCTCCATCGTAAATGCAGTGTCCTTCCAGTGCTTCTTTGGCTACCATGGCAGTCTGGACATCTGCAAGCCAAAAACACAATTGTTGAATGCCATAATTGAAAGTTGAAACATTCCCCCGGTAAAAATATAACTTCCAATAACAGCTGGAGTCCCTTAAAGAAAAGAATAAGAACTATGGCAACTTTCAAGCTTAGAAATGTTAACAACTTTCTACCATGTTGCAACTGTAGACACATACAGGTGGTTAAAATTCTTTTACACATTAATGTCCCTATCACCTTATACCACACTTCCAAAATTAGAGCAGTCATTTACTACAGTCATAAACTAGACAGAGCATTGAGGTATACCAGGGTACTGAATCAAAGCTTGAAGTCCACCATTTTTGTCAAACATAGCAATCTTCTGAACAGGTCCAAAAGAAGAGAAGACCTAGCATAACAAAAGTAAATGGTAATTAGAGGATCTTCAAAATGAAAATGGATCACAGGCAATAAAAAAATTCGATGGTACCATACCATGTGGAGAACATCCAAAGTGACAGCATACTGCATGTTCTCTATTGATGCAAGAAGGACATTACTTTCAGGCTCTAGCTTTCTCCCATCCTGACCCACAGTGAACTGCAATAAGATAACAAAAGTTCATCAATCAAATATTGACAATTATGGATAATAATAAAACACAATATAACAAGCCAAGATAACTCCGACTAATTGTTCAGCAGAGTTCATATTCCAACTCTTTCACAAAAACGCAAGACCATAATCATCCACACAAGCACATCATCAAACATTTCATGGTACATGACAGGAATCACAACGAAGTGGCTAATTCTAGAATCAATAATGAGCTACACAAACATTGGCCAAGAATACCACCTTGCAACTGCAATGGACCCAGTTATACAATGACTGCACCTAAGCAAAACACGGGTAACCTGTACTGACTTACCAGACCACTTCCATCAATAGCTGATGGTGCAACAGGAAGACTTAGATTAGTGTAGTCCCTGAAAAAACAACAGGTGCAGTAATGAAAAATTAACATAAAAACAAAAAGAACAAATAAAATGAAGACAAGCAGAGCCCTCAAGGGAGGTTCTGCCCCTGAATGAATGGCTGATGATATAAGATGTCATTGAAGAGATCAGATGATAAGAAGCAACTTAAAACATAAGGGAAGGGAAGTTGAAGCAGGGGTACCTGCTTCTATGGCTCTGAAATTTTACACTCAGATCCGTATGAGCAGAGTATGTGATCCTAAGTGTACATGGTCCGATGTGGTCATGGAGCAGATAGCTGACAGAGAAGGCATGAGAAGTAAAAGAAGCATCAGGATGATTAGCATACAACTTACCGAAAGCAACACAACTTCACAATTCTGGCCTATGAGTATGACAGCAAATTAGAAAATAATCTGGCAGTTCCAAGAACGACCAACATGCACAGTATGACGACTCATAATAGCTAGAAAGAGTGCTAAATGAAAGGCCAAAAAGGCTCTTTCTTAATGAACGGATCTGCATTTAAAGTTACATATCGTAGCAGTGGGACTAAATACCATGTGAAAAATACTAATTCAACCGTCACCTAGGAATATTTCTCCCATCGAGAGCATTTTTCGCAGATGTAGCAGTCTCAGTGTCGGAAAATTGCACGAGCGCCTGAAAGGTTCACATGGTAAAGATGAGCTTCAAGGATAGAATGAATCTTGGATGCAAGGAAATTATAACTTAGGTGCATACCTGGAACCCAGCCGTCTTTTCGAAAGTTGTAATCTTATGCACGAAACCAAAAGCAGAAAATACCTGCACCAAACACAAACTTAGAAATAAAAACTAGCACGGACAGTTGAGAAGCAAAACAATTAAAATCTAATAACTAGGCATGCTATCCACATAGAGCTTCATGTTTCAGCACAACAAACTATAACAGAATAATTCGCCGATAAAAGCTGACATCGCCTACAGGAAAATACAGTTGAAAGATAAAAGACGAAACTTTAGAGGAGTTAAACTATCCAAAATGTATAAGTGCAGGCAAATGTCATAGCCACAATGCCACTACAGTGGAGTTAAAGAACGCTCTAAACAACGCCTAAGTTACTCTCGAAAGAGTAAGCAATTAATTAACTTAATTGCAGAACCACTTGCATCAGAATTGATGCAAATCCTTTGCTTTGAAAACCCACCCACGAACAAAACATAAACTGTCTCAACGGTAGGAATGGGGATTGGAGAGGAAGAGTAGGGAAGAAAGAGCCAGTGTAGGGAAAGGAGAAAGGAGACAAACACACATGCGCTCTTTCTCCTGATGCACTAAGCTGCCATCAAAGATATTCCCTTGAGACGGGCCTGCTGATCCATTACACTTAGTCAAACAAAAAGCTTTCTGAAACTATCTGCATCCTAAGAAACGAATTGCTAAATTTCTTCCGGAACATGCTTACTTCCTGTAACAAAAACACCGGGCCACTTGTTTTTCTTACCAGGTGCAAGACATCAATGCTGACAAGGCGAGCATCAGCACCTTCAATGGTCACAAGTAATACATTTCCCGCAACATCAGCTGTTGTCTTGTTGTTCACAATTTCTTGCCTGTTAGAATACTGCAGATAGACAGTCTTCCCTCTCACTTGGGCCGGCTCTGAAGATGAAGCATAGTATGATATCATAGCAATGGCTTGATTCAGATCCACCTACAAGACAGTTCACAACGTCCATCGCTAATACGTTCCATCATCAAAAGGGAAAGAGAAGAGGTGGGTTGGCGGGAAATCATTTGAACACTCACAAATTCAATGAAGGCCTGATTTTTGTTTGCACCCACATTGCACTTAGTGTTGATAACTTTACCAAAGGGTTTTCCCAGCTCAATTAATTCTTCCTCCGTGCATTCCCATGGCAAGTTTCTTAGGTGCAGCACCTTCGAAGGCGGTTGAGTAAGACGGAACTGTGGCTGGCTGGACACAGACGCCATTGCAGAACTACCTTAACCAATAAAAACACGAGCCCCATCTCAAAATCAGTTACCCATAAAGCAGGTGAAATGAAATCAACACATGAACACAAAACGACCCAAGTCATTGCTGCTTAATTCTTTCCGAAAACCCCTCAAAACAACTGCCCACCAAGGACTCAGCCCGATGTTTTCAGGTGAGCACATAAACAGAAAAAAGATAATGCCAAGAAATGGGCGATTTGAAATCATCAGGACGCTTAAGTGGATTGTTATTACGCGCAACAGAAGCAAATATCATTCAATGAGACAGGAGTTTCACGCTACAGAACATTCCAAGCACCCAAGGAAGTCGTTCCACAGATACACCCATCGCTGAGTCAGCTATCAGCCAAATAACCAGAACAAATTACCCCAGTACAGAACGAATTCAACAAAAACAACTAAATCTAAAGGCTGCAATCATCTCCAACAACAAAATCAGCAAGACGCAATGGCGAACCAGCAAGCGATTTCGATCGGGGAAGTACGCCCGAATGGGGAGAAATAGCTTTAACCTAGAGTTCCCGGGAGAATGAGGGTCAAGGCGGCATTGAGCATACCTTTGGCGAGCCAGAGAGAGCGTGTATAAACTGATGAATCTTCGGAGGGAATTAGGGTTATGGAATGGAAGAAAGCGACGCAGCTGGAACGGCGGCAACTAGCTGGCTCGAGGTCGGTGCCGGAGAATTGAGCGCGCACTGTGTTGAGCGATTAGCAGGAGGAAAGCGGAGGAGTGGAATTTTGGCTTTTGCCGGGGCCGGATGCGTATTCTCTGTTTGGCGGTGGGATTTTTACACTTCTAGGCAATAGCCATTCACCCGCAATTCGTTGAACTATGTCGGGGTAGATTCGTCATTGTCTCTCGTCTTTCGTTTCCCGTCTTTGGGCTTGGGTTGGTCTGGACTCTGTAAATTTGTCAGCGGCCTGTTTATTCTGGGCTTGTTCAAAGGTGGTATTTTTCTTTGTTAAGTCTGGATTTAAGTTATGGTAGAAATTTTTGTTCTTTTATTCGTAGTAGAAATTTACAACTTATAAAATATGAGGGGGTTTTTTTTTTTACCAAAATTTATAATATGAGGTTTTGGTTTACAAAAATTTATAACAATTTCTAGACTATTTGTTGGTCAAAACCAAGACCCCAAAACTAAGTCCATTACAAAGATATCTTCCCTCCAGCGATAGGGGTAAGAATAAGCTTCTTCCACCTCTCGACTCCAACAGTATCAAAGGCTTGAGAAGAATCCCAAATGGTTGGTACCCTTATCTACCTGGGATCGAGCTTTTTCGGCCTGAGAAACATCGGAACAATCGATCATAAAGTGTGTTTACGAAAATGAGGCTGAGATGGTGCAAATGCCGAGTATGATTCGAGTTCCTACACTAACCTCTTTCTCCCACTGGCATCTCAGGGTCATTACAGTTAGCACCAAAGTTTGAACCACAGTTCCGGCTAGCATTCCGACCCAAATACCCTGCCCAAAGTATAGATATAATGTAAAATTGATTCTGGGAACAGATGAAATGGATCAACAACAGTCAGTTCGAATCCGTCAGCAGGGCTTACTTGGATACCAAAGTGAAGCAACCACGAACCGAACAGTACTCCTAACGGTCCGACAATGTAGTAGCTTCCTATGTTTACAAATGCCACCGATGCTTGCCAGCCTGATCCAACGGCCACACCTGAAAAGGAAAACCCAGAAGAAAGAAAGAAAGGAACAAGTTCATATTCATAAAGCCTTTGGCTAAATGTAGGCGCCATGTTGTAAGGCAATGCTACTCACCAGAAAGAACCGGTTGAATGCTGTTCAGAAGGACGGTGAAAGCCAGCAACGCTGCCAATTCATTGACCATTGAGATAACGGAGGAGCTCGATGTGAAGATTGCAGCAAGTTCTTCGGGAAAGACCATGATGATTATGCCAAAGAACAGTCCAACAGCTGCTGATGTTGTCACCGATACTATCGTTGCAAATTGGGCCCCTTTAGCATTCCCTGCACCAAGCTCATTTGCAACCCGCACCCTGGATGTTCCATAGATGGTCAAGTTGGAGAGGATGAATTCTCCTAAAAGAACTGAAGCTATTGACTCGTGAATTGAAACCTTTGGAAACAAAACTAGGAACTTCAAGACCAGTGGTATTCCCACTAGACCAGGCCCTTGTTCGCACAGTATAGAAAGTAACAGCACGGGTTAAAAAGGTACTGCAGGGATCCAAAAACAATTTTATGTCTTCATGCCATAACGGGGACATTTAACCATCACCAACCTACGCCCTTAACCACTCCCTATAATTCTCTTCAATATGCTAAATAAACCTCGAATTCATGGTTATTAAAGCATGAGATGACATAGAGCCAGGGCAGAAGCCTGGAATGGACTATATACTTCATTTGATCATTTCACAGACCAGCAGATAAGTTTTTCTAATCACGGACTCTCAAATCACAGAAGTCCATCCAATGCAATGGGAAAACACATCCATTTTTAAAATTTCTATCAATAGCAAGAACTAGTTTAGCTGAGAAGCAAGGTGCGACATATCTATCAAGGAGTAATAAGATCAAGTCCCAATTTCAAATGAATCCATGCTTGTATATGAAACTGCTTTCCAATTGCCAAAGGAGCTTCTGTTGGTGCATAACAACTATAAACTTTAAGCTAGATAGGATACCAAGTCAAACACTTGAGTTAATTCTGATGTTTACGAGTAGGGAGTAAAAAATCTAATCACTTATCCTACAGATGGGTCAGCTTTCAAGGAGAATCTTTTGAGAATTAGAAACTCACCCAGCTGCAGCTAAAAATCCAAGTGGAATCATGGACTCCCAGCTATAAATTGTTACGCTGCCAATGGAAGCAAAATATAGATTAGTAACAAAACACATATGAAAGCTGGCCATAAAGGAATGACACAGCGCAACCAAAAGAAGGTGATTGGCGATTGCAACAGTAACAAACCAGATAGAGAGGGCATCGATTGCGACCTTAACATTCTGCATATACCCAGAAACTATAATCAACACTTTGTAATAGAAGTTCTCCAACCTGCAAACCATTCGCCAAAAGAGCAGATACATTGAATCAGCTTCTACCATGAACCTAACTCCAGAATTTTGATCAATCATTCACGAACCTTAGGACATACAATACTCACGAAAGCATAACTCCAGAAGCTACTGCAAGTTTGAAGAAGTCCCAGAGTCCCACAAAAGCTTGATCCGAGAAACCAGTCCAACATTTCGGGCAGCCACCACAAACACAGTACAAGAACATGGCCAAGACAGACACCCACCAAGAGAAATCGATCGTAATAGCAGCCCCAACAATCCCAACTTGCAACTTGTGAACAAAAACCCAGCTCACTACAACATGGAGAACAAGAGCTCCACCAGAGACCCAAGCGACGACTCCCGCCTTAAGCTGACACTGCAAGAACCTTTGCAATGTGAACTGAAACGGGAAGCTCAGATGAAATGGTATCAACCATAGAGCCACAAGGCCCGTCTTCTCTGCCACATCTGCTGGCTGCCCAATCAATTTCAATAGCGGTGCTGCAAACAGAAACAATGGCAGAAGCAGTAGGGAGCACAAGAACAGCACAATCCAGGAACGCTGCATATATATTCCCAACATATGGTATTGTTTTGCTCCGTATGCTTGGCCGCACAATGTCTCCAGCGCGCTCGCCATTCCTAACTGGAACCCAATTGGGAGAAAAGAAAAAGGGTTCTCAACGATTCAAATCACCGAACCAAATTTGAATGCTGGATTTCTTCACGAAGATTAAGCTTTTACCAGGAAGCCGAAACTGATGCCGATGATGACAAAGCAAACCATGGAAATGGCGGCGAGATTTAGTTCACCCAAGTGTCCCGCGAACGCTTGGGTGACGACTGTCAATGAAAACATGGCGACCCGGCTGAAGATCGAGGGCCCGGCAATGAGCCACAAGTTCTTCGATTCCTGCCATACGGCTCTGATCAAAGCAGTAGATTCAAGGTTACTCGATCCGGACTGGTGGGGTTCTCGAGATTGTAAGCTTGACTGGCTTTGACACAGTAGATGGTCCTTCTCCGCCGCGGTTTCCATGGCCTGGATTAGGGTTTCTTCCCGTGATATGTGCGAGTGACGAAGCATCAGCCTTTACCACTCTAGGTCTATGCTGCCGTCGTTTGAATCCACTCATACATAACCTAAAGTAAAGCAGAACCACAGGCGATTAGTTTAAAAACAGAAACAAACAAAACAAACCTTTGTCCGACTCCGACTGTACGGATAACCCACCACCATGCGGCTCCTTTAACTGCCAGTCGGCAACTGAATTTGCTTGCTCCGCCACAATGGGTAATCAATCAACTCGGAATATAAAGCTCCGGAATCGAATTCCATTGGGGACGGCGGTCGAGTTCAATGTGTTGGACTTGGAGATGGGAGAGGATTGATCCAGAAACTCGCCGGCGAAAAGGGGATCTGATCTCCGTTGGAAATCTGCGGTACAAGGCCCTACCGTAGAAGAGAAACGGCAGTCGGATTAGTGGTTGTTTGCGGTACATGATGTTACTGTTGCCGGGGGAGAGAGACGATGGTCGGTTGGTGCTTCGAGGAGAAAGGACTGTGTACAGTAAGAACAGGGGAAGGGCATTTGTATAGAAGCTTCGCGACCGACGATTCATTTCTGTACAGAAGTTTGGCCTGTTTAGTATTTATTGCTTGTTTTGGTTTTCTGTTGTGTTTTAATAAAAAAATTTGGAAAATCAAGAAAAAAAATCGTGTTTAGTTGGTTTTTATTTTTTGTTATGAATCAGAGTTGCACAACAAGGCTCAAATATGATAAACAACAATTTATAGCTTTGGATATGATTCTTAAACATGTTGTACACGGGATTTCTACTGGTTGGGCGCTTGATTTCATTAAAACAGACCAGTTTTCGAATCCCCACAGAAGAAAAAAAAAATAACACATACCACCCCCAAACCCTACTTACTTTCAGCCGCCCCCAACCCCCTCCATTTTCTATCGAACGAGAGGCAGCACTCTTCTCAGCCGGCGCCGCTCTCCCCACTCCAGCCATAAACGCCAGCCCCCTCCGCCTCCGCGCCGCGTTGTACCAGGCCCCTGCTCAACAGTCGCCGCCGCGAGCCCCGCCTGCCCAGCCGCCACCACTTCCCTCGTCGTCGGCTTCATCTTTCCCTCGCGAGCTCTCCTCTCTTCGGCGGGCACAGAGCTGACGCTCACTCTTCCGCGCGACTACACAGCCGGTCACTCGTCCCTCGCCCTGGCCCGCCCCCTCCGTCCTCTCCATCGCCCTCTTTGCTCCATCGATCGAATACACGGCTTTACCTTCTCAGGTGGAGTTGTGTTGGTCGCGGATGCCGGAGGAGGAGGAGGAGTCGCCGCTCACCAGAGATTAAAGCCGACAAATTATTTCCTGTTGATCCATTTGTTGCTCAAGGAAAACCATCTTCCAATTCTTCAGAATAGTTCTTTCGATTGAGGCATATCATTTTGAGAAATGGTCTTTTGATCCCAGCAGCTCAATCCATGTGTTCCTTTGCTGTATATTGAGAAATGTTCTTATGATTTTTCGTTACAAAGAACTAAACGCGTTTCTGTTTTTTTGTTGTCGATCTCTATGATATGTCATAATTACCAACTAAACATATTTTTGTTTTCTATTTTTATGTTGTTGTGGTTTCTCTTGTGTTACACAACCATACTGCAACCACAACAACAACAAAACTATACCGAATTCTCATGCATTGTTTATAGTTAACATTCATTTTCTTCCTACTTTTCATATATAGTCAAAAAGACTCTCGTCGTCTCTCCTCAACCATCTAGAAGCCGAAACTCTCTTTAAGCATTATGGAACCTTCTCAGAGACTGTCTATGATGCTTGCTGGGGTAAAAAAGGTGCAAGATTTTCCATTGTTCTTCTCTTTGGAATGAGAGAAAAGAAATGGCAAGTGGAATGGGCATGAATTTCATTCCACGCTTGTTGTCTGCATCACTTGAACGGGAACGCGCTCTCTATGTAACTAGTGGATGAAGCTATCTTAACCCCAAAGACATCTCCCCAATGAACCAAAAAAAAAACGAACCTCAATCAAACTGCAGTTTCCCATTTCACCCTCCTCCGTCGGACGGACAAAGCCAAACGGAAAGTCTTCCCTTTTCTCTTCTTTTGTGTTTGTTTAGTAACGGAAAAATAAAAAAACACGAACAATTGCTGTCAACCCTCCATCTGTTTTTTTTTTTTGTCTTTTTACTAATTTCCTAGGGATGGCAATGGGTCGGGTCGGGGACGGATAGTGCATATCTGTTACCCTACCCAAAGTAGTTCGGGTTTTACCCATACCCATACCCACATATGAAACGAGTAGAAAATTAAAACCATGTCCATACCCGTTCGGGTTTCGGGTATCCACGGTTATCCATGGGTAATGATTTCTCTTCATAACTCCAACTAATATATTAACATTCACACGTATTCTCACATTACGCACGAGGAAAAGTATGACAATAATTCACTAGAATGAAGAAAATTAATTAAAACAACACAATTTCATGAAAATCTTGTATTTATATGCTAAATATAAAATATGTTAGAGAAAAATAATTACTATTTCTAGACAAAATACATATGTATGTGTATAATCGAGCGGGTTCGGATTGGATACTGAGAAACCCATGCCCACCCATTACCAGCAATATTCGGGTTCGGGTTTTACCCGTACCCACTAAATGTCCTTCGCGTTCGGGTTTTACCCTACCCGATTAGGCCGGGTTCGAGTGGATATCCATGGTTACGGATATTTTTGCCATCTCTATAATTTCCCGTTTTGCATATAAAACAGCTCCCGGAGGTGATCCCAACTTTTTCATCAACCAAACCCCTAAAAAGCAAAAAAGAAAAGGAAAAGGAGAAGAAGAGGAGAGATGATAATTAATTAAGAAAAAGAAATTAATAGAGACTGGCAGATAGAGATATCCGTTAGAGCAAAAAATCAAATTACAAAGCGGCCGCGTCGTGGCGACCCGGTACCCACCCACTCTACAAGAAAAAACGAAACCCCAACAAAAAAAATTAAAAAAAAAAAAAAAAGAAATCCAGACTTTTTCCGGGTGTGTTCTCTCTGAGAAGATATTTTGATCTTTCTCCCAAATTATTATTTCTTAAATAAATAACCGGCAGGATTCTCGGTAATTTGATTCCTTTTGGGTTTCTCCGTTCCGACTATTTTTTTTTTTAATATTTATAATTCTCTCCTCTTCCCCAGTACTTTACTGCCTCCTTCCGTTTTATTTTCTTCTCCTTCTCTCAAAATCGAGAATGGCGGTGGAAAAGCAATACATTAACAGCGAGGACCTCAAGCAGCACAACAAGCCCGGCGACCTCTGGATCTCGATCCAGGGGAAGGTCTACAACGTCTCCGAGTGGGTGAAGCGGCACCCGGGCGGCGAGGTAGCCATCGCCAACGTCGCCGGCCAGGACGTCACCGACGCATTCATAGCCTACCACCCGGGCACGGCGTGGAAGGAACTCGACCCGCTCTTCACCGGCCACCACCTCGAGGACTACGCAGTCTCCGACGTCTCCAAGGACTACCGCCGCCTCGCCGCCGAGTTCTCCAAGCTCGGCCTCTTCGACAAGAAAGGGCATGTCGCCGTCTCGGCACTCGCCGCCGTGGCGGCCCTGTTCGCGATGGTGGTATACGGCGTCGTTTGCTGCGAATCCCCCTGGGCCCACCTCGGGGCGGCGGCGCTGCTAGGGTTTCTCTGGATCCAGAGCGCGTACGTGGGTCACGATTCGGGTCACTACCAGGTCATGACGACCCGAGGGTACAACAAGCTCGCCCAGCTCCTCGCCGGAAACTGCCTCACCGGGATCAGCATCGCGTGGTGGAAGTGGACGCACAACGCCCACCATTTGGCGGTGAACAGCCTCGATTACGATCCAGATCTGCAGCACATCCCGGTGTTCGCCGTCTCGACCCGGCTCTTCAAATCGATCCGATCCGTCTTCTACGGGAGGAATTTGGATTTCGATCCGGTGGCGAGGTTCCTCGTCAGCTACCAGCACTGGACGTTCTACCCGGTAATGTGCGTCGCCAGGGTGAATCTCTACCTCCAGACCTTCATCCTCTTGTTTTCCCCCAAACGAATTGTCCCCGACAGGGCGCTGAACATAGCCGGGATTTTGGTTTTCTGGACCTGGTTCCCTCTTTTGGTTGCTTGCTTGCCGAATTGGCCAGAGAGGTTCGTGTTCGTGCTGACTTCCTTCGCCGTGACATCGATCCAGCATGTTCAGTTTTGTCTCAACCATTTCCCGGCGAATGTGTACATGGGTCCGCCGAGGGCCAACGATTGGTTCGAGAAGCAGACGAGGGGGACGGTCGACATCTCGTGCCCGTCGTGGATGGATTGGTTCCACGGCGGGCTGCAGTTCCAGCTGGAGCACCATCTTTTCCCCAGGCTGCCGAGGTGCCAGCTGAGGAAAGTTTCGCCGCTGGTTCAAGATCTCTGCAAGAAGCACAACCTGCCGTACCGGAGCTACTCGTTCGTCGAGGCGAACGTGTGGACGATCAAGACGTTGAGGGCGGTGGCGGTGCAGGCGAGGGACCTGGCGAACCCTGTGCCCAAGAACATGGTGTGGGAAGCTGTTCATACTCACGGTTGAGAGGGGATTTTTGTTTGTTTGTTGACGAATGGATTCCATCTCTGTTCAGGGGGGAAGTTTTTTTGAAAATTTTGCTTCCTCTTTTGTTGTGTTCATTTTTTCAGTGAATTAAGAACTGGCTACAATTTACAGGGGTAGTAGAGTTGTCTTTCAATTGCTTAATTGTATTTCTTTGGTTGCATTATTGCTGATATACTGGAACTACAAGTTCTTTGAGTTTTTTTTTTTCCCCTCAATAGGAGATTACAATGTTGAAATAAATGGCCGTCAATAGTAACCGATCTACCAACTCTATTGGCCGGAAAACGGTGCGGTCTGGTCCAGACCAGATCATATATACGGTTTATGGTCCAGACCGAGAAGTTAAAGTATAGACGACAGACCAGACCACAAATTATACGGTTCGGTCCAGACCACGTCTGTGCGGTCTGGTCTGATCCAGATAGACCACACTCAACGAAAAATGAATAATTTGTTTAGTCAACCACACAAACAATTGAACCAATAACAAAGAAAAATAATTGTTGCCTTAAAACATTGACCCTAACATGCATGAATAATTTTGATACTCTAAATCTTAGTACATAACAAAGATACAAAGTAAAAGCATCTCAACTTGCACCATAACGTCATAAACATTAACATAATGTCATATGGAGACACGATTATCTCTACTCTCTGGTTAAACGTGGTTGTGAATGAAGGATAGACGAGATTCACAAAACTAATTAAGGTTGAGACTTGGGTGTCGTTGTGGGAGTTGGGAGAGTGGTCGAATGAGCTGTTACACGTATTGACAAGTCAGTTGGGTCCACGGTTTGGTCCGGTAAATCGCGGTCTAGACTAGACCAGACCAAGAGATCAAAACATAAAATAATACAGACCATGGACCAGACCAGACCATACTTAACGGTCTACGGTCCGGACCAAACTATGCGGTACGTTTTGGACCACGGTTTTTCAAACGGTCTGGTCTATTTTCCCAACCCTAATTCTTTCTCAAAGAAAAAAGCGAAAATCACTAAAAATTCATAAAAAGGATTTGGCTTCACTCTCTCGAGACTTAGTCACCCAATTCGTGGGTATGTGGGTGCCGCTCCAGGTTTGGTGTAGCAAAAAGCTTTTTATTTTTATGGAGCGCGAACTATATTATTAAATCCGCGTACTACCAAAGATTCTCCATCATGTCGCTACCACCAGGATCGCTGAGAGATCTGAAACTCGGTTAGGAGGAAAATGGACTTTTGCCCGACGATGGTTCAGAAAAAAAGGATTCATCATTACTGCTTCGTCAAGCATGGGAACGTCTCCCTCTCCCTCTCTTCCCCATACGCTATCCTCTCTCTACTCCACTGCACTTCACCTCCCTAATGAAGAAGACGATTCAATTTCAGTTTCAATCGTATCCATTAATCCAAATTAACCTCAATCAATTTTTTCCATTTCATGCAAAAGGCGGACTGTTGGATGAACAATTACTTCAAACTGGAAGTCCAACGAAACTTGGACCCAGACATGCATGGCGCGTCAGAGTACTCGAAGTCATGGAAGATGTTAGAGTTAGTCAATAGAGTTGTAATACCACATTGATGGGAGAAGGAAAGTATAAGAATTGAGTCTTTTGCCAGTTTAATTAAGTAATTAATTTTATATTAATTAATTAGCGTTTGAATATTAATTAATTAGCGTTTGAATATTGTGAAAAGAGGTATCTTTCGGAAATGTAACTTCTTTTTTTCTGTGAAAGGATGTGTCCTTTCGAGAAAGGTAACTACCTTTCTCTGTAAAATTATGTGTCCTTTCAGGAAAGGTAACTACTTTTTTCTGTGAAAGGATGTGTATCTTCAGAGGTAACTTCCAGTGTTTCACAACTGTAAACAGATGAATGCCATAACTCTTTTTGATGAACGAGAAAATTACTTCTTCCCGTTTTTCCTTCTCTATTTCATAACCACAGAAGTCTGCAAAATTGTTGCTTCCAGACTTAAATTGAAGGGACTCCTGAGGGTGGTTTGCTCGAGCCTACCAGCCATTTGTAGTGGAGGAAAATAACACTCTAAGGAGAGTGATCTAGTCACGCCTTCAATCTGTTCTTTTCTACCAGTTCACAGAAGAAACCACCCTTAGGTGCACACTTAGATTTCAAACTCAATCCAGGCGCTGGGATCTTAGGGGGGACAGGGTTTGGAATCAGAAAAGAGAGGATTAAGACTGCTGATTGAGGAAAGTGATTGTCAAACTCTGATCTGAAAGCTAATGAAAGGAGAAGAAGATGACAAAACAGGGCTTCTGTGAACATATTAGATTGGTAGGTGAAAGCATGGGTGAAAGAGGAAGAAGAGGTTGTTGTTGGTCTTTCGTCTCCCGATCTACCATTAGCCCACCTCCCTCTGGATTGGGATCAGTGTACTTCGTAGGTCAATCTAGTGCCAAATTGTGTTGTTAGCTTGATTGCAAATGGGGCTACTGTTAGGTGTGGTATTAATCCGTCTAATACGACAAACAACTAAGTCATCAACGGGCCCAAGTCCATCACCCCACGCATTTATCGGGCCCAAGCCCACGAAAGGAAGCCCAAGACTCCTATAAAAGGAGACTCATGCCTCCAAACCAAAGGATCATCTCCTTCTCTTACTCACTTTCCCTTAAGGTCTCTCTCTACTTCATCTCTCTACATATCACACACTCTCTCCTTATTCGGTGTTGTCTTCATATTTTGTGGTTGTGCTGTGGTTGTTTGACTGTGGGGTGATGTTTGATTGTGGCTGATGGCCGACTTACACCATGTGTGTCTTGGTGGATCCAATTTATCCTTCATTCCGTTTATATGATTGTAGAAAGAAAAATGACAGCATTTCTCACGAATAGAATCTTGTAAAGCAGCGTCGACATTGCTTTCATAAGAGCTAGGAACTTTTCATACTTGTGTTATTGTTAATAACTTAATATGCATCGGTTTATCTAGGTTACAACTAGTAAAGAAGTTAATACTCATTTCCCCCTCTATACAGAAAATATTCCAAGCCCTTGCCCTCCTAGATTACGAATTTGAACTGACAATTGTAAGAGAAGAAAGAGGAATAACATATTGGTGCATTCATAATGATATGAGGGAACTGGATTATGATGGCCAATGAGGTGCTGATCGCAATGACGGAGCCCAAGAGGATGGCGAGAATTTGAAGAATTTTGTGAGCAGAGAACGATTCGTATTTGCGCTCTCTGAGTCCCCTGGAGATTAAAATTGCCAATTGTATGGCGATCCCGGGACCGAGCACTTCGCAGCGGTACGTACCCACCTTTCGAGGTTTCGTCGCCGGCGTTCATTTCTCGGCGACAACTCCGGCGAGCTCCGAACGTGATTCAGACTCCGTAGGATTGTTCCTGGACCTCTACTGGTCCTAACCGACCTCTTAGAATGAATTATCTCCACCGCTCTGTCGCACACCATTTCTTGATCAGCTGGCGGTGACGAATTAGCTTCTGCGGCGGGCAGGATGACGGTGGCGGTCTAACTTCTTTTTTGGAGGGAGTGGGCGAGAGAGAAATGAAAGGAAGGAATGGGGATGGAAGGAATTTTCCCCCCTTCCTTTTGGGTATAAAACAAGAAGGATGGGGGAGTGGGAGTCAGTGTTAGGTGGAGAATGTCAAGGTTGTGATGATGGTGGGCGCATTTTGCCAAAGGCGTTCACTTTTTTGCACTGTGTAATAAGAGTTTGTGGTAAAGCTTGGCGCTTCGAGTTCAGGGATGGCTGTTCATGGGATTTCGATGAAGAGTGGCTTGGTATCTGATTAATACATTGAAGGTTAACATATCGATTATGGCAGGTATGTTTAGAATGGAATTGCTAAGCCAAGTTTAGAAAGGAATGGAAATTGCTGTCTGTATTTTCTCAACTTTCTTATGAGTTTGCGGATGTAAATTGTTTGCTCCAATGATCCACTTCTTTTGGTCCAGCATGCAAAGTTTCAATGGAATTAAGTTGGCGACAGTAATGATTTGTTGAGGAATGGCAACTAAGGAATAGTTTGCTGTTCTGGTTTCCACTGTAAGTGGGAGAAAAACCACATCACCTACACTATGCAGTTTGTTGCAAAAGGGTTATGAGCCTTTCTCCCACTGAATTATTTTGTTGCCTGCAACTCTTAAGTGTCTGAAACAAATTTGTGGTTGCTATGGATTGGTACTGATATCACTATGAAGCAGATGGATTTGTGTGCCTGGCTTTATGATAGCATATAATTAAGAAGAACATCTTCCTTCTGCACTTTTCCAGGCAATGGTGGTTTTAGTGGTGTCCCTTCAGGTTAGGACAAGAATTATTTGAAAAAGATGTCATAGAGGCAATCTCTGTCTATTAGCATTCTTCATGAATTGAAATGGTGAAAAGGGTAGTTATAGAGTTTTGCCTGTGAGCTGCCAAATTTTTTGTGCAAATTGGCTCCAGGAGACTTCCACAGTTCCACTGGTCAACAATGTTTTGTGTGATAAAAAAGGAACCACCTGGTTTGTTGTGAACTTGTGATGTTGAAATTCGTTCTATTCTAAGGCTAATATCCTCCTAGAATTGGTTTCTCATTCTTCATATCACAGTGATGGTGCTTTACATTGTATGACTGTGTACTGATTCATCTAGTTTCTCAATCCCTTAAGAAGAGCATTTGAGCTGATGGTAATTTTGTTTGAAGTGTTTAGCCTTCCTTAGTAGAGCAAGTTCCAGACATGCAGGAGTTCTGTTCCCATCAAGATGGGAATATGTTCTTGACTCAAGAACAACCACCAGGTACAGCTGATCTTCTACTGCTGCTTGAAGAATCAGAATCTCGAAGGAGAAAGTATGATGAACCACACAATTTCCACTATTGTAAGTGATATTTTAATCAATAAGTCCCTCCTCTACCAGCTGAAAGTAGCATAACCTGATCGACCCTTATCAATGTTATCAGTTCTAGTTTGTTATTCTCTTGCCAATATCTCTTTGCTTGCTGGAGAAGCCAGAAGGTGATAATACGAAAGCTCAAGTTGCAGATGACAAGACGAAAAAGCGTCACGTGCAAACAAGAATGTTTCCTGGTTAGTCCCTAACAATCTGAGGCATATTGGCATGCCCAGGTTTCCTTTTCTAACACAAGATCATTGTTAGGAAACCATATCTCTTGGATTAGAGCCGGAGAGGTCCCCTTATGGCTTTTGTTTAAGCTAAATTAATGGATGCTAATGGGTTGTGATTTTGGTGCTTCTGGATAGGATATGTTGTGAAGGAACTGATATAGAATAGTACCCAAGTTTTAGTTTTGTGGGTTAGGTGAGGGATTAGAAAGCTTCAAAAAAATTAATGGGTTTTCTAGCTTGAGATAGGCTTTGGTAGATGAATGCTGTCTCCCTTAACCTTTTTGTTTAACTGGATTCTGGCTTGTGGTGTTAAATGGATGTTTGAAGTTTATACATCGTCCAATAGCTACTCAGCTAATTGCACCTTTGCTTAGTATTTGCAATATAATAGTAAAGACAATTTTTCATTCTCTTTGTGTAAAGTTGTAACTGGTTTTTATGGGGACAGAGATTCAAAGGTGCACCAATTGTTGGCCTCTCGCCAAATGAATTGCTTGTTTCATTTCTAATGAAAGTTCAGAACTTGTGGGCTCTTTCCCAATGATTTAATACATACTTTCATAACTTGTTCACTTTTACAACTTCTCATACTGAAACCAAAGCCGAATATTAAGATATCTGGAAACTGTGGGCTCTTTGAACATGGACATACTAAATTACTAATGGTTGGTTGTCTTTTCCTTTTTTATTCCTTTGGGAATTGTGGGAGATTTGTCTTTGTTCTTTTCTTTTTTCTTCTGTTCCTTTTGTCTGTATGTTGTTGTGTTTTTGTCATCAAACTAACTGAAAGTCCAACAATAGGCCTACGAGTCAACAGACCAAGCAAGCCAGCCATTCCATTTCCACAGGTTGGTTGGGGGGTTCATCACACCATATAACCCAGAAAGCTCAATCCACCATCTACTCATTCTGGTGTTTCTCCTAACTCCTAAGAAAGCACAGGGGGGGAAGAAACCGGGCCATGGGTCGTGGGAGCCGGTCTAAGGCAGGCAAAGGCAGAAGTAGCACTAGCTCTGCCTCTCAAGGTTTCATTCTTCTTCCTTGTTAAAACAAGGATATTTTAACCTTCTCAATTGTCCTTATTGTTTCCTTCTGGTTTGCAGAGGTTAGCAGCCGTGAATGGGAGGTGGTAAGAATGAATGAACAAGAAGAAGATCTCATCTCCAGAATGTACCGGCTCGTGGGTCAAAGGTAACTTAACACTAAAAACTAATCACCTTAACATATCATTATGTTGGTGAAGAAGACTGAGGCAGAAGGTTACTGTTTTATATTTTGCAGGTGGGATTTGATTGCTGGACGAATTCCAGGGCGAACGGCAGAGGAAATTGAGAGGTTTTGGATCATGAAAAACCGTGGATGGGCTTCTGCAGAGAGAGAATCGTTTGATACAAACTTGAAAGAATGAAAGCTTAGCAGCAGGCTCATTGGAAAATGTAGTTTCATGGCTTAGTTTTAGCTTCTTGGTTACCCTATCAATCGTTTCTGGGTTTTCTGCGAACCCTGTTTAGCAGTTTATGGCTAATGATTCATATTCAGATGCGGCCATGCTGTAATGCTGTCAACGCAATCATCTTCCTTTTCTAATTGATCGCGCAGACATAACAAACAAAACTTGTATATGCTCAGATCCATTGACACATGAGGTTCCTTTAAGATACATTTACATGATGGAAAAACAAAACTTGATATAGGAGGATTCGTGTGGAGTGACTGTAACTTTCATCTATACCTGTATACTGTATAGTACACGTAGGCTATATATGATACAGATCATGAATATACAAGGAAGGGAAAGGGTATGGAGGAACGGTTTGAGTAGTTAGAGCCGAACCTTTGAAAGAAGATGAATGTTCAGACAACATATGGACGAAGGTAATCCATTCTAGCAGGGTGCTTGAGCTTCATGAGCGCCTTGACTTCATGCTTACGGACCATTTCTCTCGAGATGTTTAAGTTAGCAGCAATCTCGCCTAGTGTTCTATCACCTTTGCCGTCGAGCCCATATCTTTGCCTGATCACCAAGCTCTCTTTCGGCTTCAGTGAGTCCAGCTGCACATTTACAGGAATTCCAGACGTGGGTTAAGCTTTAAATGAGAATGAAAGGTTATTCTTATATGACCATTGATTGATCAAGTCAAACTCAACATACCACGTCGTCAAGAGCAAGCCTAAGAAGAGCTGGTTGCCTTTGATTGTCACCACCATCCACATCTGTGATTCCACTGATCAACTCTTCCTGAGTTGTGGCATTCCTCATGTGAAGAGACAAGATTGGTTTGGCCGCTTTCATAACTTCATGATATCTCTCATGGGAGATCCCAACCCGTTCAACGATCTCTTCCTCGGTTGGCTCTCGTTGCAGCTCCACCAGCAAGTGGAGCCTAGTCTTCTGAATCTCCACTCTTATCTGCAGAATACGATATGTCAAGCCCAGTCTATAGAGCCAGGGAAGTGATCAAGCATAAATGAATACTCAAAGCATACCGATTCGAGGCCAAATGAGACACGGGTAAAGCTGGAGAGAGTCATGGACCGAATTATGGCATGCCTAATCCAAAACAGACTGTAGGTAGATAGCCGGAACTTCCTCTTGGGCTCAAACCGATCGATTGCAGTGATTAGTCCCCTCACTCCAGCCTGACACAGGTCTTGAAATCTCGGGCTACTCGCAAAGTCCGAAAAGTATTTGTTGATCACGAACAACACCAAACGGAGATTGTGCTGCAACAAATACAACAGAACCATTAGTGCATTTTCTCAACATATCGATGCAAGCATTCTGTAATCTTAAAAGTGTGTACCTTGATGAGCTTGTTTCTAGCAGCTCTGCCAACCTCCAACTGCCGTCTAACATCAACCACAGTCGAATTCGTCGCCTGTGCCAATTCTCCATCAATCGGCTCCCTCCCCAAAGTCTTGTGCAGATCATCTTTAACCTGAACAAGAGCCTTCAAAGCAAAATGCAATCAATTCTAAGCTCATATCTACTACTCATTAGCGAACAAGCCATTCTAGCCGAATTTGTCAAGACACCCACCTTCATAGGTTGCATCAACTTGAACAACCAGTTATGCTCGGAGGAAGGAAGAACCGGTGGAAACTTCATCTTCTTCCAGTCCAAGCTAGCCAAATCAGTCGAACCAGTGTACTGCCTCACGAGTTCATCAATCTTCTCGCTCTCATCCTTCCTAACTCTCTTCTTACTAGCTAATGAACCAACAACAACTCTCTCCTCTTCTTCTCTACACTCTTCTTGCTTCACATGATTCTTCTTGAGTGCTACCCTCTTATCAAGACTCAACCTTTTCGCCTTCTTCACCCGATTCCTAACAACCGCTCTACTAGTTTTCACCGCCCCATCGCGACTCTTCCTTTTCCTCTGCCTATCTCTAGTCACAACTACATCGTCATCCTCACCATCTGATGGAGGGCTCAGCTTGTATATGCTCTCCAACTTCGCCGCGGCCTCATTGTAATCCACATCCAATTTAGGCACAGATGTTACTCTATCGCTTTTCTTCGGTCGCCCCTTCTTGACCTTATCGGAACATTTCACCGACAGTTGTAGATGAGTACTGTCGCTAGGCGAGACTAAAGACGTGCTATCCGATTTGTCCGACTTGAACGCCACGATCAATGGCCGCCATGAATTCGATCCGTTGCTCGAAACCCTTGCGGTTAACCCTACTGGGTTCCTGGAAGCTGAGCTAGAAACAGTCACAACTCCCATGATCGCGCCCAAAGAATCAATCTTTTCCGAGTTCCTCCGAAAACCCAATTCGCCCACTTCACCAAATTGATAAAAAAAAGAAGGGAAGGAAACAATTTCATCAAAATCAGCATAAACAACGTAGTAGGGCTCAATCACTAACAAGGTAAAGCAATAGATCAGAATCTTACCAGCGTGATCAAGCAGCTAAAAACCCAGATGGATTTAGAGAAGATTCCGTCGCGATTCTGTTTCAGGCGTTTGTTCGGCAATCGGCACAGAACTGAGGGCAGAGGAAATGTAAGAATCTGAATTTTTTTTTTTTTGTTGGAAAATTTATTTGTTATGGTTCATTTGAAAATGGGAAATTATGGTGTCCACTGGAGCCAATCGACGGAGGGGAGAAGGGGAACAGAGGGATCGGACGGCGGCGGTGGATGTGTACAAACTGTACATGAAAGGCGGGAAACGGAAGTGATGACGTGGAGAGCGGAGGAGCAAGAACGGATATTATCGCCTATATGTGGGGGCCCAGGCCCGTTTGTTCGGGTGGTCCGCTGCGTTTTACGTTTCCTCCTGGTAGCCAGAATTAATAATTTATACATATATGGGCCAAAAAAGTTGCGGTTGGGCTGGGCCAAAAGTGTAAAACGAGCTCTTGTGATCGGGCTATATAGCTGAGGCTCGTGTTTCGTAAGAGCCCATACTGATCACAGATTGTGACATATATTATGCCGGGTTGTTGTTTCCTTGAGCCCATATTGTGTCGGTTGCAGGTTCTGACATACACAATCATGTTATGAACTACTATGTTACATCTTGAAACCATAAACTAACATTGTAACCATGTGATCATGAAAATATAGACTTCTTAGACAACTATATACGATTCTAATCCTTAATTATGTTTAGTATTGATGGCGTGATGGGCAAATTCATGGGAAACCTAACTGTAAATCATGTTTGCCTTTGTTATTAAAGCTATGATCAAATTTTCCGTTGCTTCCAATCATATTCTTCGTTGTCCCAACAACCTTTTAAAATATGTTAGGGTACTTTGTGAGATTAGGTGACATACTAGTTTCGGCCCCCAACAATGAATTTTAGTATGTGGGTGGCGTCAAGTTATGCTATCAGAGCAGTTCCAAACCCATATTCTCCAAGTCGTTTACCTCTCGTGGAGAATATGGAAATCAAGAAATAAAGTGGTATTTGAATATACCCAGTCTCATGTCCGTTCGCTTGCCCGCCAGTTCTCTCAAGTCCGTGAAGTACTCTCCTCCTTACCGCCTGCCCCTTCAAGCCAGCCCTGGGAATGCCCTCCTGAAGCAATTTTGATGTTGTTGTCCAAGCCTCTGGTTGCTCTTCTGTCCTTGTGGTTCGTGGCTCGGACGCTCAAGTGCTGCTTGCCTCGAGTTATCAGCATCAAGGGATTTCGAACCCCTTATCCTGCAGAGCTCCTTGCAACAACAGGGATGCGATCTCGTTTGCGGCTTCTTGGAGTTTGCCTCATGCCATCATTGAGGGCGATGCAACAGTTGTCATCCGTCAACTTAGCCTTGGAGCAGTGGAGGATTCCGTTGGTGGCCCTCTCCTTCGAGATTGTATGCTTTTCCTTGGGTCTTTGTCTCATTGTATAGAGTTTAGGGCGGTTCCGCGGACTGCCAACTGGGCTGCCCGTAGAGTGAGGTCTTCTCTTAACGCGCTTAACAATAATAATGTCAATCGATCGGTCCACACTTTTGGTCGACAGGGAGACGGGACGAGATCAGCCCAGATGAGATGTTTCACTGTTCGTAGGCACAGATACATCGGAAACACATTGTTGTTAATAATACTCGATACATGCAGCCGCCAATACGACGAAAGACCGCCGTTTTTATACTTGCTTCCTTTTTTGCCGCGCTTTTTTTTCTGGGCAGTGTTCGTTTTTTTAGCTCCCCATTCGGGGGATCAGTTATATAACGACTTTTCAAACCCAACGCGCGATGGAGGGAGAGAGGGGCCATGCAACAGCAACAGCAACGACAACTCCAACTTTTGAATGGGTCTCTCGATCTCTTTCTCTCTAAAAGAGTAATTAGCGTCTTTGTTTCATAAACGTGAGAGAAAAGTACTTAAAAAAGGGACTTCTGTTGGGCATTACACGCTATTGAATTCAACGTACATATATGTAGTTAGTTTGAACGATTCACCCTTTTCTCTCTTCATCATCATGTGTGTCCTTCTGTTTGGTCCAAATTGTTGGGAAAGCGATGGATCCACAATGAATATTGCTTATCAAAACAGTAGTTAGCGAACTAACCACTTGGTCCCAATAACTCGAGTTGTTGGGAAAAGGGATAGTTAAGCCTTTTAACTTCTTATACGCCCCCTCAAACGAAATTGTGGACTTTTACGGTTTGCACAGGTTGAACCCTTGTGTTGCCAAACCACGCGAGGCTTTAGTTTGCACAACAGGTTGGACATACCATTCCTTGTGCTAAGCGAATTGGCATGAAATGTGGGTCGTTATGAAGATTCGAAACCATGACCTTTCGGTTCTAGGCTCTTATACCATGTTAACGAACTAATCACTTGATACCAATAACTCGAGTTGCTGGAAAAAGGGATGGTTAAGTCCTTTTAACCTCTTATAAAAACCACCACAGTCAGTCACTATCTCGAATATACGCACTGCACTCTTTCCTTCCTATGTCTTATTTTCCCAACACTTGGTATAATACTAAATAACATCAACAACTTTTATGTTCTGGTTTGAATACATATAGATGAGCTATTTGCAAGCACCAAATATCATGATAGGCACCCAAATCAAGTACCTAGTTTTTCTCGAAGATTAGTACCACCACTGAACGAAAAATGTTCGAAAAGAGACATGTATGTATGTGTTTGATTTCCAATGTAAAAAAAAAAAAAATACAAACCTTTCGGCATTCTATATGTTCATACTAGATTTCAATTCGTGAGCGTTGTGTTATAACTTTCATTATCGTAAGTAAGATAGACGGATGTCGATAAAAAAGATGTATCCACAGTATATATATTGGAAACTCTTCCAATATTCATAGAATCAAATTAACATCTCAATCTTCACTGCAAAAGTAGCTAATTAAGAGCGTTAGTAGGGAACTTAAATGCAAAGATATATTCCTCCTCTCCTTTTATAATTTTCTTCCTATACATTTGACGCCTTTTACACTTAAACGGTCTCGATCGGCCCATACAATGGGAAAATGCCGGTGTGTTTCCTTTCTTCAAATCTCAGACTTGGAAACTCGTCAAAAACCAAATCTTAATCTTGGAAATCCCCCTTTATATAGTTTAATATAATAATAAAAATATACGTGTACCCCCTTAAACTACACGTAATATTAATGCACATAGAGTAAACTATGATTAGTGCAATGTATTTGGCCAACTATCTCACTAGAACTAATGTACGTGGTTTAATTAGAAGTTTAGAACTAATAAACTTGTGGTTAAATATGATCAAACCCAAGTTGGGATGGTTATATAGCATGCAACAGGGCTATAAACCCACTTGCTCTGCCCCTCTCTCTCTAAAATCTAAATGAATCTTTAATTATTGCAAATTGTGATTAGTTCTTTGGGTACTTAATTGGCTTCTGTGTCTGTAAATTTCCTTCACTGGGCAGTACGCCTCTCCGACCCACCCAACAGTTCAAATCCTCGAAAGTTGATTTGACTAAATTTACAAAACAATTATAATTAAGTTCATTCTGATGGGATCCGAAGTAACCACTTGGTTGTAACATGATTAAGACTAGATATAGACACAACTCCAAGAAAAACCATTGAGGAGTCGTTTGAATGGATCAATTGTAAAACGAGACAATTTGATCACTTGTTTCATTTTACAAAACGAGTCATTTAAAACGAGTCAATTCAGATTACCTGCCCCCACCCCAGACAATTGTAATTGGCTCAAAATGAGTCAATTCAGAATTCTCCAGCCCAAATTGCTTCATCCAAATTTTCTGCTGCCAAACGGATCAATCTAGCACAATTGACTCAAAACGAGACAATTGTGTCAGATTGATCCATTAGAATTCCTCATCCAAACAAATGCATGTGTATATTATTCAATGAAAAAAAAAATGTGAATATTATAGTCTAGTGGTACGCAATGAGCTTTTTTGTTGTTATTCATTCTTCTAGTTGGGTCACATGTCGTACTTAATGTATAGATTTAGTAAGAAAATGTTATTTAGATTTTGAACCACAGTACTATAACCCTAACTCTTAAATCTTGATAAGTGAATTCTAGATCCTAATTAATGCTCTAAACTCTAACCTATAAGTAGTAAAACAGTACATCTTGTATGTTGGCAGCGTTTTAACAAACGGGAACAGTCGATTATTATTTCTAATTATATCGATCTTAGGATGTAGTATTTACTATTTAGAGAATTGTGACATAGGTTTTAATCCTTAAAGTTTAGGATAAAATATCATACGATCTTAACTCCGATTAATTCATGATCTAAATAGCGTTCTCCTAGTTGGGGTATGTGTACTCTAAATTATGCTTCTTGTGTGTGCATTTTAGGAAGTAGATCATGCGCCACGCCATGCCAGTAGTAGGGATGGCAACAAAACCCGAACCCATGGGTACCTACCCGACCAAACCCGGTCAAAGCGGGTAAAACCCGTGTCGACGGGTTTGGGTTTAACCCCGCTACACTATTTACAAGTTGTGTTTGGGTTTAGGTATACCTGCCCCACGGGTACCCGCCCACACCCATATAATTAATTTTTCCGGTATATTTAATATTCTATATAATATATCTTCCTTAAACAACTAATCTTCTTTACACTATTCACGGGTTGAGTTTGGATTTAGGTATACCCGCCCACACCCATATATTTAATTTTCCCGATATATTTAATATTCTAAATAATATATCTTCCTTAAACAACTAATCTTCTTTATATTTGTGGAGGCATGTTTAATTTGTTCTTCCTAATTGTGTATAATGAAGTTGATATTATGGAGTGGAGAGTGAAGAAGCTTTAATTGACAAGGAGGAAGAAGCTTAATCATGTTATTTATAGATGTTTACCTTTAATTTTAAACAATTTTGTATTGATAATTTGCGGTTTGCTTGTATGCTCTAGATTGGTGTTTTTTGTATGAATAATTTGTATGATAAAATTTATGTTAAGACTTTTATTTTGAAAGAAACTTGTTATTGAAAATTTTGTATACAAAAATCCACGGGTACCCATGAACCCGCGGATACCCAGCCGATTGGGTTGGGTTTGAGTTTTTCAAACCCAGCAGGTTTTACCCAGGGGTTTTTTGGCGGATAAACCCATGGGTTTGGCAAAACCCGCCCCAACCCGACCCATTGCCACAGTGGCGGATACGGGAGGGTTACGGTGCTAATTGTACAATAGTTAGCACCATCCTAACCAAGGGAAAAACTACTACTAGTTTGAATTAGTAGTGATTTAGCTTAGATGTTGTATTGATTTTATAATAATCCGTAGTGATTTTTGCTAGTTATCACGGTGCTAACCCCTATAAGGGTTAGCACCTAATCCCATTTTGGAAAATGATTATCCTGTCCTCGGTAGTAGTTTGCGTATGATTAAAAATATATAAGTAGTACTCTGTGTTATTCAAACCTAGGACACTACTATTATTAAACATATTCTCTATGTTGCAACTCATTTGTTGTTCTATATTAAACACTATGTTATAGTAAAAACACTATTCATTATTCCCAATTATTTTCAAGACCTAACAATTAAACTCATTTGAGCTATCCTGAATTTGAATTGATTTTATAGGTATATTGCAAGAATTGAAAGAGTCTTTCAAATTTGAGTTACATCAGGAACAAAGTTAGAAATCGAATATGCGATCAATTCGTGAATTATTGTCTAATATGGTATATTTGCACTAGTCGGATTTTTTTTTATTTATTTATGAATTATTTAATTTAATTTTTGGAGAAGGACACGCCTATAAAAATTTTATGAATCCGCCGCTACATTGCTAGTAGTAGTATCACATGCGAGCAAACCACAAATTACGCTAATTAATTACTGTTCTAACTTCTAATCACCTATTTCGTGGGAGCATTTGCATACGTAACCCACACCCAGCACTGCGGACGTCACTATCATGTCAATTACAAGCCCACTTGATGAGATTTCCTCTTAGTAATTAATCTTTAATAATTAATAATAATAATAATATTAATAACAATAATTAGTATATAGTACAACGATTCTTCTCTGGTCTCTCCCTCCATCTGGCTTTGACTTCAAAGTATACACAATTTATAATTCTGCCTCTTCTTTTACCCAACAAAAGGAAATCAACGTATGCCTAAGTTTTTTTTATCAAGCCACAATCATATTAGATTGCAAATGTTAGTTTGGATTAGTATACTATGATTGCCATACCAAAATCTAACTCAATATGGAAAAACTGAGGAAATCAGAGCTAAACACGAGTGAGAGGAGATCGTTGTTTTTCTCTCAATTTTCGAATTACAATTACATGAAAATGTACAATAAATACGAGAAATAAAGCATTTCCGCAATACTCTAAAGTCTAAACCCCGTTAGTTCAAATCCCTTTACATTTTTTTTTATCACGCTTGATTCATATTTTTGGATTAGTACGCAGTAGAAGAGTCAGGAATTAAGCCTACATGTGTCCTCGTTCCAGGATATAAATATAATTAATAATAACCAATTGATACAATAATTATTTTCATAAACAACCACGACACATTTTCATATTCTTAAACAACAACAAAGTATATTAGTTGTCTACAAACTCTTAAGTCAGTCTCAGTTGCAGGGAAAATCGATAGCTGGACACAGGACTGCTTCTTCAGTTGCTGGAGAAAAAATCGAATAAGACTTGACAAGAAAATAGATCAATTTAAGGATTTATCCCAATTGGGAATTACGTTTTATAGTGCAACTAAATTAGTTTTGTTACAATATAAAAACAAGAAACGAGGTGTTGCAGAGTGGTAAAATTCTCTTAAACAACCAAGGTGGTGGGTTAAATTCTTGGCATAAGCATATACATGAGTATTTAATTTTTCCTCCAAAACTTACATGCTTAGTGTGACAATATCTAAATAAGTTTGTCCCCTCCTATGCTCCCATAATATTGTTAACGACTGTATATATGTTAGTAATAATAACACAAACATCGTGTTCATTCTGGGTATAAAATCGTACGTTTTTATTTTATTTTATTTTATTACTTTGGGATGCATATCGTACGACGCGTACGGACATAAGGTAATCTATATCCTTACAATGCTTTACAATGCGCACATATAACTTTGTAAAGAACTCATCCATTTCACCTCAATACGCGTGTCTTGTTTAAACATAATAATGGCTCCCTCGTTTTGTCGATGTGAAATATCTTAAAATATTAAAGGAATCGTACCATTTACCATCTCTTTGGACTACACATATGTAGACACTTAGACACTACCATTATAAGTAATTGATTAAATTATTAACCAGAGTTAAGGAAAAGAAGTGGGGGTTTTTTTTTTTTTTTTTTGGGAAGAAATGGTCAGCAATTGGACTTTCTTCTTCCAACTCTCATTCCGTTACACGCTGCTTAGCGCGGTCATACCTCTTACAGTCAGTCAGAGTCACATAGCTTTCCTTACCCCACTTGCCTCTTTTTTCCTCGGTCAAACAATTCTATTCTTCCCTTCCCTCCTTATATATATATATATATATATATATATATATATACTAATACATGCATAAACATTCAATCTCACTAAACTAAACCCCGTTGAGTTTAAGCTTAAGAGTAATCCATCTTGGTTCTTTATTGATGCTCTTGTTCTTGGTTTCTTTACGTATACAATGGCTCATCATCACCACCACCATGCGGCGGCGGCGTCATCGGAGTGGGAGCACAAGTGCGGCAGCCTGGCGGCGGAGCTGACGGCGGGTAGGGACGTGGCCAAACAGCTCCAGCTCATCCTCAGCTTCATCCCGCCGCCCTCCTCCGTCCACCACTACTCATCTTCTTTTCCTTCGTCGTCATCAGTGGCTGCAGAGCAGGCGACGACGAGGGAAGTGCTGGTGCAGAAGATCCTTGCTTCCTACGAAAACGCGCTTTCCATGCTCAGTACTACTCCGAGGATGATGCCAGCTCAGCACCACCACCATGACCCGAACCGAGATCATCATGATCTCGGTTCGGGTCATGATGATGGGGACATTGGGACGGTGGTGACGATGATGTCGAAGTCGTCGCCGCCGGGGACGAGGAGCGGGAGTCCAGGGAGCGAGGACTCCGACTCCGGCCACGACCTCTTCAAAGACACCACCTCTTCTAGGAAAAGGTAGACTCCCTCCTTAATTAATGTAACTAAGCACATGTGCTGCTGACTCTCTAATCCCTATCTACAGATTGATTTGCTGTTAATTATATTATTATATAGTGTTTTTAAAACACTTAGAAATGGAACTAAACTAATTTGGGAAATTTTCAACTGCAGGAAGAGCATTATTCCAAGGTGGACGCATCAGGTTAGAGTGGGCCCAGGGATGGGCCTCGAAGGCCCACTTGACGACGGCTTCAGCTGGAGAAAATACGGCCAGAAGGACATCCTCGGCGCCAAATACCCTAGGTATTTTATTTATTATTTAAATGTATCATCATTAATATTATGATGATATATGATCCAAATTAATGAGATTAATTAATAATAATAATAATGTTATTATTGGTTGGTGGAATGGATGTGGCAGAGGGTATTACAGGTGTACGCTGCGAAACGTGCAAGGCTGCCTGGCCACAAAACAAGTCCAGAGGTCCGACGACGACTCCACCGTCTTCGAGATTACGTACAGAGGAAGGCACACCTGCACCCAATCTCCACCGCCAAATAACACCGCCCCTCCACCGTCCGAACCAGCCATGCCGGCGGCGGACGACCGTCAGCACGAGCAGCTGCTCCTCAACTTCCGGAGGGGACTCAACGTCGTCGGGGTAACCGACGACGGCTCGGAGTTCGACTACTCTCCCCCAACGAGTACCTACGCCGGCGGCAGCTTGTTCTTTCCTCCGCCGCAGGCTACTACGGCGGCGATGACGTCATTCGCACCTCCGTGCAGTTCTGTCTACCACCACAGCTTTAGCGGCGGCGCGGCTAGTAGTAGTAGGAGCAATGATAACATTAAAATTATTAGCTACGGACGGGAGCAGAGTACAACGGCTGCAGCCGCTCCGCCGGTTGACTTCCCGTTTGGCAATATGGACCATTTGTTTGACGATCCGACGACCTTCACGTTCGACAACAACGCCGGCTTCTTTTCCTAGCTACCTAGTCCAATCATATGCTAGCTAAGCTAGCTGCTGCCGTGAAACTTGATGAGTGATGTTTGACTTCAAAAATTCGAATTCAAAGTGAGTTGAATTTTTACGTACTGGATCGACTAATCTTTGAGATTGTACCAATAATTTATATTTTTTTTTTGGTAATTATTTCCATAAGTAACATAACGGTTTTTAGCATTAGTTAGCCAATACTTTATCAAGTTGTAACCTTTCATAGTCGTCTTACTGTTTGATTTGGTCACAAACTTGGAAGTGAGAAGTCATCGTGTGATATCTTTGACTTTGAGCAAACATCTGATTTGGGCCTTCAAAAAGGCCCATTATTCCTTGGCTGGAGTCAATCATACGGGTCATACTTGCTCCCGTTTGGGCCTGTCGTTTACTGTTTCGTGCGAGGATTTACTGTTGATGGGTTTCTCTGCCAGCAGTGTCCTCACAGTAAGGTTGACAAATCGGATTAAGGAGCCGGTCAAGTAAGCGGTTCGAGATATATTGGTCTGATTGGGGTCCGATCGGTTTGAGCTGTTTTACATATTTTCTAAACATATATACCTTTCTTGTTTCCGCTCCTCCCTTCCCTCTCTCTCTTCTTCTCCCTTTTTAGTGGTCAGACCAGGGGGCTTTCTGGAGGCCGTTTTAAAACCTGAATAAGGTCGGATCGGGTTCGACAGGAGTCTGATAGGGTTTTAACAACCTTGCCTCACAGTGATATCTATAACGGCACAGTCTAGAGATAGCCCAGTGAAGAAGGTGTACTCTCCCTTTTCCTGCTAGCCTAGTGGTGGTCCAAATTACATTAACGTCGTTCATGCAAGTGAGGGGTGATCGCTTTGAATATGCAACCAAGTTGCGAGCAAAACATTCAGCTACCCCTGTTATCTGAATGTATAGCTGATTAGATTCAGGGGGTCCAAGGACAAGGAAGACAATACAACAATCAATTTAAAGCCAAATATATAAGATATCGATGCGTGGAAGGATTGCTTGAAGGAATCGAATTGACAGTTCATTGCACAAGAAAAAGAAAAACATAAATCGTGGTCCATAGAGACATGTTTCCATCTCTCAAACAACATATAGCAAAATTTTGTCGGGTCAATTTATAGCACGACTCATATAATATAGGAGATAGAAAATTCAAAACCCGCGTAACGAATTAAGCATTCGTCCTTAAACCGAGACCAAATTCTCACATTTACTGGTGAGTGGTGACATTGATTTAAATCGAAACAGATTAATACAAAATGGTTCCAAACCGTTAGCAAAATCTTAAATAACACGGTTCTGTGCCGGGACAAGCAACCTTTATGTCCTAAATCCTAATGCTGTGATACCAATTAGGGTATGTACATGCAATATCACATCTCATTTTATTATTATTATTATTAGGGTTTTGACTACTGCGATTTAGTACTATTTTTTCTAAAAATGTGGAAACAATTGCTAGCTATGTGTATACATACCTCCTTGGAGGACCTCCCTAATTTCAACTGTTCTCCTATCTAGAAATGGTGAGAAATGAATAACCGAATTGCCTTCTTCATGAAAGAAAAAAAAATTAATGTCAGTAGTGTGCTACACGTAAAATGACATATCCAAGGATAGGATAGAGCTTTATTTATGCAACTCTTATGCTTAAATTCTTATATGTAAAATGAGAAATCCTCAAATTCAACAACCCTCTATGTAGCTTATAAGTAGGTAGCTAGGCCTAACTTTTCTAGTGAAATTTGTACACCTCTATGAGGGGAAAAAAAAATATTTACAAGTACACACTCAACCAAAATTCTCCTAAATAATTCAAAAAATTAGCCAATATTACAAAAGATCACAACGTTTACTCTGTAAGACACCGTATAGTTATGTGTAATTGTAATGAAATGTTATCTGCCATCATCAAAACGATATGCTTTTCAAATGTATCAATGTGAATTATTATATTTGAAAAAAAAAAAATTCGTCCGATATTGAGTTACCACACACAATAAAACAAGACAATGTGACTACGGGCGCTCAAATTTAGATGACATAGATCGATAGGCATAGCCGAACACTCATCATCAAGTGAACTAATTACCATCATTATCAAAGGCAGAAAATAAAAGGCAATAATAATGTCCATGATTTAGGGTGTACCATTACATGTAATATATGTTACCCTAGTACACTACAAACTTATGCCTCCACCTACCAAAAATTACAATTGTTAGGGATGCCCATAAGTATGCCCTTACCTAGACATATACTTAAGTCATTTTTTATTACTAGGTTGTACACCTCAATAATTGAAGGCCAAATTACAAAGAAAAGGATAAGAAAACCAAATTTAAGAAACAAGAGGGGAAGTAGTTAGGTTGGGGAGACATCAACTAGACAGAAGCATCCATAACCATACATTGCATAAGAGAGAGGGAGAGATCAGATCAGAGCAATATATATAATATTAGGAGCAGAATGTCTGTTGGACCTGTTGAGCAAGCTCCTCTGCACTTAGTTGGCACTCAATTCCAATCTGTTCAAACATAATCAACCACCAAAAAAAAAGATCATCAACTGTCTCAAAATCATATATATTATTTGTAAATAATCCAAACTTAGACCACATATATAATTAAGCATCAAACCTAACACATTAAAGGTGTCAAGAACCAGTTTATCCCAATAACTCGAGTTGTTGGGAGAGGTTCAATCGTGAATCATATACCGTCTACTAACAAAAGGGTTCGTGCACAAGACAAAAGTGTAGCTCCTCACCATGTTTCGAATTTAAGTTAAAAGCTGCCCTAGACAATGCCTATTCTCCATTGAACCGTCCTTTTCAAACTTATAAAAACGGAGTCAATGCAACAAAACCATCAGCTTTCATCTCAACAAATTACATTGTCGTTTGCAATATTTAATATACACGTCGTTGTACTACGCATGATCATTACTTTCTAAATTCAGCGTCGAAATTATACCGTTTCAAATCAACAATTTGTAGGGTCCATAACAATATGTACGATCATTCGAGATTTTAATTCGACTAGATTAACGAGAATAAGCTTTAATTCGAGTTCTTTTTTTTCTTCTTAACGTTACCTTGATGGTGAAGGAGTTGAGCATGGTTTCATCGACGGTGTTGAGATTCACATGGAGAATCTCGAGCGCGAGGTCCTCAAGCGCCGAGATGATCTTCACGGCCTGCCCGGGGATCCTCGGAGAAACCGTCTTCAGGACGAGGTTGGGGCCGGCGAACTTCACCTCCACGTCAGCAATCCGCGACTTCGAATTCGCGACCAACTCGTTGCCATTGTTGCTAACGAGCCCGTCGCCAGCCATGAGGTTGGAGGACGAGGACGACGTCGTTGGGGACGGCTCGACGACGGAAGCCGCCGACGAATTGTTGTAGTTGTTGTGTACATTGGTGGTAGAACTACTGATCAGCAGCGACGGCGGCGGCCTGGGCTTGTAGGGGCTGGTGGGCTGCGGGGTTCGTGGGCTTATCGGCTGCAAGTTGCTGTTGATGATCCTCGGGCTGATGGGCGGCTTCCGCGGGCTCAATGGCGACGGCCGGGGACTATTAGCGACGATTCTAGGGCTCAGCACTTCGCTGTAGATTACTTTGCGCTGCTTCTTGGCTTCTAAGGATTGGAGGATTTGTTGTAGCTCGCTGATGTAGTCCACTACTCCTCCTATAATCGACGCTTGGTCTCCCTAAACATATTTTTATCATTAATCACAGGATTAATTACTGGTCGCTAATTGTTAACTCATGTTTGTTAAAGAAAGAAAAAAAGAAAAAAACTTACCCGCTTGACGTAGAAGCAAGGCATGAGGGACCTCAGCACGGCGAGATGCTCGTTCATCTGCTTCCTCCGGTTGCGCTCCACGGTGATGTGAGACATCTTGTTCAGCCCGTCGGTAGGGCTGCCTAGCTCGTCCTCCTGACTCCATACATAGGCCGCGGCCGCGGCCATGGTTTTCTGTCTCTTGCTCTTGGGTTCGGCCTCGTTCTGCTGCGGCTGCTGCTCCGAGAATTCTCTCGGAGCAGCAGTGGACGAGGATGTTGACTTCTGCGAAGTCAACTGTCTAGATCTTGCTGCTCCTGCAGCAGCACCTCCGAATGGAGATGGAGGTGGTGCAGGAGTTGTTGTAGCTGGTTCGAACGAAGCTGGGAAGTTGGGGATGGTGGTGGTGGTGGTGCCGCTACGGCGGCGGTCGAGGGACTCGAAGATGGCGAAGAGCTCGTTGCCCTCTAGTGGGTTGTAGCCGAAGTCTGGGGTTCCAAGGAGATCGGACATGCTCGTCATGAAGGAGGAAAGTGATGGAAAAAGGTTAAGGGGGAAGGAGGAAAGGGAAAGGCGGCCGAGATATAGTTAGGACGAAGACAAGATGTTGAGAGGAAAAAGTGAGTAAGGAAGAAGATGAAGAATGATGAAACAAAAGGGAAGGGGAAGACTGTGATTAAATACGGGGGTGGAGGGTGTGCGAAAGGGACTACACTGTCACCATCAAGCAACGTTTCGCCGTTTCCCGTCATGTTTGTTTAGTAAGTGGTTAAGATTATTGATAATATTATTCTCTTTCACAATTTGAGTTAGATGGATAAATCGGTTTATTACAGGATATCATAGCTGGTTTGTTCGTAAGCACGTGTGTTTAAATCCTAACGGCTCTCAATATTAACCGTTGTCTTAAAGCATATGGTATGGTCGAGTCTGTACAAAATCTAATCTCATGAGTAGACTTTCGTTTAAGGGGATGTACAAGGAAGTGATTAACCTCCAACACTTAAAACATCCTTTAATAACTCGAGCTATATTGAGACCGGCCAGTTGGTTTATGAAAGAAGAAGGATGCATATACAGGCTGATATCTGTCGTTGGTTGAATTCACGGATTCTGGATGTTACGGCAAGGAGAGAGAGGCGGGAGAGAAAAATTGGCCAACTTAATCAGAAAGACTTCGAGAGACTAACTGTCTTTCTGCAGTGTCAAGAACCAGTTGATTTCAATAGCTCCCGTTGTTAGGAGAAATTCAGTTATGAATTATATATCACATACTAATACAACCCTTTTAACAACAACAGAAAAAAAAAACCCCATTGTATATGGGCTTGAAGTTTGCACATGTTCAAGTTACTAACTACTACGAATAACTGGTTTCCGTATTAGTAGTATTTTTTATGAACTACTCGCTTCAAACTCCTTTTAACCACTATTCAATCTACATGGAAGGACTATTGATGAGGCTAATTTATATCATGTGCTTAACAGAACATATTCAGATCATCAGGATTCGAACGTAAGTTACTATGAATTGCTGATGAATGGAGAGGTGGTGATTTTATAATGTTATATTTACGGGAAACTGTATATTTGGGGCGGGACAAAAACTAGTTGAGTGATATATATATAGAGTCTGATAGACCCTTTTCCCCAGAGAGTGGTTGCAGTAAAAAAAAGTAGGGCAGAGCTGAAAGAATGGTGAGGTTGATGGGAGTGGCCTATATTATTGCACCACCACTCCGCCTGCTCCGTCATTAATTCGGCCGCCCAAATGGACTCGAGTCTTCTAAATCAAATATCCTAATGTGTTACTGCTTTACCGCTACAAAAATATGCATCTAATAATAACTTGCTGTTATAGCACTGTTGGAACACAGGCAAGAATGTATGTTTGCTCGAAGATCTCTATGTTTGAACTTAAAAATAATATTGCTTCACCATGCAGCAAGTACAAAGCTGGAGAAAAGTAAACTAGTGATTGGAAGGGGCGGAAATAAGCCGTTTGAAAAAATATAAGGCAGAGAAGGGTTGGGGTTGGGGAGAAAGAAAGAATCTTTCTTTCTTTAATGCTGCTCTCATGGTGGTGAAGTTACTGCTTCAGAGTGCCGCAATATTAAAAGTTGCAGTGCCGGTGGGTATCGTCTAAGTAGCTAGAAGCTACATCCCTCCGGCCGCCGGCCATTTATACAATTACAAAACCCTAGCATATTAAACATGTCTTTACTTCTTCTTTTTGTATAAGTATAAAAAGACAAAAAAAACTCAACGTATATGTTTGAAGCGAAGTCTACGTACAAGATATATATATATATTATTATAAAGGTGTGGTTTTGAAGGGAGAATTTATGGCGGTTGCAGCAAAACTGGCCGGAAAGGAAGTGGGCGAGAGAGAAATGGAGAAGAGCCCTGCAGAGGAGAATTAATAGGTTGACGACGACGGGAGTGTACTGCTGCTGCTGCTGGCCCCTCTTCCCCCCGGCCGCATGCAGATTTCTGCAACTTGTCTCTTTTAACCAATATTAAAAAAGGCTATATGCATCCTTCCTCCAGCTCGCCATGGCTTCCTAGCTAGTTAGTTCATCACTTTTTTTTCCCCTTACTGTAACTTAAACATGCATGTATATCAGTAACAATAATCATACCATAATTATCAAAGGCCTACACAAGCTAAGCCATCTCCCTTTGTTGCCTCTATATATAGCTAGCCAGCATGATGTGTGAATTATGATCTATATATATGGCAGCTGAAGTAGGGCTGTCCAGAAACACTCCGTTTGTTCTCGTTAACCAGTTACCATTAAGAACGAAAAAATCAAAACTCTGAATATACGATTCAATCTACCCATAATATTCATGATTTGAAAGGCTGCGGGTGGCCGGTGCATGGGGTCACATGAGTTGGGTTTAAAATGCAGATGATATTGATCTGCAATTACTATGAAGGTTTCTGCATGGAAGTGCGGTTCACACCTCTCTCTCTCTCTCTCTAGCTGTGTGTATTTATGATGTTTGGGACAATGAACATTATTGTTACTGCATGCTGCTGCTGCTGCTACTGCGCTACTAGGTGATGAATGAATGAATGGTGATCTCTTCCTCTTCCCAAATGGATCCAAAATTGGGGTATCATCCATCAATTTTTAATCTAACATTTTACCATTCAATTTCCCAACTACCATCCTTCTGTCGTCTCTCCTCTATGCGAACGGCCAAAAGAAAAACATATATACGAACGCCAGGGTACGTGTAGATCAGAGTGGCCACAAAAGAGAGAAAATTATCCTCTTTTTTTTTTTTTCCTTAGCTCTCTTTGTTACATCAAATCAAATATACCTTAAAATTTTACTGTATATGCATACCATGTATATATATATATGGTGTCGTATTCGGTGCACCCACTTTTTCGGGTGCATCCTCATAATTGTCATTCTGACCATGCGATTCATGTCAAAACGGTATCTGTTAGAGAGTGGTATAAGATCCACGATTGAACCTCTCCCAACAACTTGAGTTATTGGGATCAACTGGTTCATGACAGTTATTGGGATCAACTGGTTCATGACATGGTATCAGAGCCTGGAACCGAAAGGTCATGTGTTCGAATCTTCACGACCCCCAATATTAACCGTTGTCTTTCAAGCACATGGTATGGTGGGCCTGTGCAAACTTCAAGCCCATGGGTTGGCTTTCGTTTGAGGGGGCGTGTTAGAGAGTGGTATAAGATCCACGATTGAACCTCTCCCAACAACTCGAGTTATTGGGATCAACTGGTTCATGACAGTATCAATTGTTGCTTATGATATTATGAACAAGAAACACATGAATTTGAAGAAAAAAAAATTCATTCAAAATTTACTTTAATTCGGAGGATTTAGGATTTAGGGATTTAGGGTTAGGGTTTAGGTTTACAATTTGGGATTTTGGGTTGGGATTCAAAATTGAATGTTAAGGGGTTAGGGTAATGGATTGATTTGTTATGAGTCTATGTCATATCATCATATTATATTGAGAGTACTGATCAAAGTTCAAAATTTGATGTATTATGGACGATTTTAGAGTTGGGTACACAGTGCACCCAAAAAAGTGAGTGCACCGAAGTAGCCACCATATATATATATATAGAAAGAGTAGTTTGTTTATATATAAGGTGCTTACTATATTTATTTTTATTTTTACAGTGAAAGATATATAACCCTTATGTCATGTAATGGATTTTATTTTATCGACACTGCCCAATTTAAATCTTAATCTTGAATTATGCATTCTCTAGTATACTTAGAAACTTCACACATACAGATATAGTGGTCAAAAGATGGATCATAAGTGATTGGTTTAGAGATAATGTGCGGCTGTTAATATCCAATATCACAGATTTAAGTCTTTGGTTTAAATATCAAAAGCTAAATCTGTACATATGATTGTAATCCAAATATTTTCAAAAGTGTTTTTGAACTCATCTGAGAGATCAAAATGTTCGAATCAGCCACATGCACTTCGATCGGAGTTCACCGCCTGATAATCTCATTTCACTTTTATATATGTATAAAAAAAAAAATCTTATATACACGTTCCCTGACTAATTTTAACAATTATTAGAATTCAAATATTTAACTTTTCAAAGAAGATTTGATAGCAGTAGCACCATCTTATAATTAATTTCATTTTTCACATCAACGACTCCAAGTTATTAGCAAAATTCCATTACAAAAAAAAAAAAAAAATATAGAGAGAGAGTCCACTTTACTGCTGTATATACAGTAATCCAGCATATGCATGGACAGTGATTATTATGTGGGAAGGGTTAAAAAAGGACAAAAACAAGATTCCTTTCAACAAAGCACGACTGCCTGCAGACTGCATACTTACCCCTTCTTGTTGTTCTGTACATTACTTATTACTCTCAGCTTCCCCCCCTTTCGTTGCAGTACTGCAGAATAATTTACAGTCTGTTACAGAATAATTTACAGTCTTAATCTTGAATTATCCCAGCAGCTTTTTTTCACTTGCTTTGGTGTACTATACTGTAATTTACAGAACGTTTCAGAAGAAGAAGAAGAAGAAGCAGTACTACCATTCTCGATCCCGAAGCAGCTCGATCGCTGTTCAACTTATGTACCTAGTTTGCTTTGCTGTGGACTGCTGTCTATGTCTCGCAAAACATACAGTATATGCTACTCGCTAGCTTAGCTGCTTGGCTTGATTAATTAAGGTGGCAGGTCGAGACATAAATATGTAGTTAGTTGCATGCATGTACGTCACACTAATTAATTAGCTCCAAGGCTATATATATATATATATATATATATATATATATATATATATATATATATATATTTTTCTTTTTGTATGACCCTCTTGACTATTCGTTATTTACTATGTCGATAATTATTGTTTCAAACCTACAAGTGAAATATTAGTGAAGGGGTACATTTTTTGTAATACCCGAAACTTTTCCCTATAAGATAGTGTCCGCTTTGGATCTCGAACCTCACGGTTTTCGACTTGGGGTGCAATTCAGGGTGACTTCCCAT